GGAAGGGGGTTCCGAAATAAATAGGGAGAGAGTGGGAGGCGGATAGAGGAGAGGATAGGTGGAGAGGCTCCATCCCCGCCTCTTCGACCTGTTTGTTTCCTCTCCTCTATCCCTCTTCTATCCGCCTCCCACTCTCTCCCTATTTATTTCGGAACCCCCTTCCCCTCCCCCTTTTCTGATGAAGGGTCTAGGCCCGAAACATCAGCCTCTCTGCTCCTATGATGCTGCTTGGCTTGCTGTGTTCATCCAGCCCTGCACCTTGTTGTCACTTTGGTATAGTTATAGTTTATTACAGGATGGTTATAGATCATGCCTTTAGCTTGACAGAAAGGTTTTTGCTTGTGACTGTTATTGTTTCTAATATAGCTAAGAAAAGTTATTCTGAATATGTTATTAAAATCTTTATTTAATCACACAAATCAACAGATGAAAAAATGCCTTGATTTGTGTGATTAAATAAAGATTTTAATAACATATTCAGAATAAATTTTCCTAGCTATATTAGAAACAATAACAGTCACAAGCAAAAACCTTTCTTGAATTTGTACATCTTAAGTTAATTTTGTTTTAAAGATAGCTACGTACAAAATTATAGTCAAAATGCAATAAATCAGTTAAGTCTGTCCTCATTTTTGTTTTCTATTGCTAGATAAAGTCAATTCTTTAATATGCATACAATGTGACCTTCCAGAGGAAATGTCAATTTGCCCAGGTTTAGACATGCTGAATCTTTATTTTGCATCTTGTAAGAGTTTCCAGCTCAGGCATATTTTCAGTTTAAAAATATTGCCTTCCTGCCAGCATTGATGGATCTGTGCTTTTGCTTCTCTTGGTATGTCTTGAGTTGTCACATGCTCAGTATTACAGAATGGGTTAGAGCTAAAATTACTTCATCAGAAGTAATGGCACCCTCTTCTGGCCATTTTATATACGTACATACCCAAAGAGACTGTTCTGGTTGATTCTTTATGTGCTGCACAATTAAAACAATTAGTCTGATCTGCACAAATATCATGTTTGGTGATGAGTTGAGGTTATGGATGTCCTTAGCCAAAGAAGTGATGGTTGGATAGGCATTCATAAGCTAGTAAAAATGTGTTTTCTTGAGAAATGGTTTTAAAAGTCCAGTTTTTGTAGAAAAGCTGTTTCTATGCATGGGTGGACGAACCTTCAAAGATGGCTGCATCTAAAGATATCATTGGGAGACTGGGAGAGTACAGGTCATGATAGAGTCTTTCAGTGAATATGTGGTGTGATTCAAGATGCTTTTCACTGGTAGTTATATCCTGGATGTTCCTAATAGTCCATTTGTTAATAAGGCAGTGAGGAAAAGGAAAAGCTTGATATTTATGACTAAAGCAAGCCCAGAAAATTTGCTCGCCACCTCTGAACTGATCACGGCACCACTAACCGACATTATGTGTAAACTTGAGCAGTACTATAGTGCCAAGTCATTGGAGATTATAGAAAGCTTTGAGTTCAAAATGAAGAATCAGCTACCCAGTGAGGATATTGAAGACTTTGCTGTGGCTTTGAAATATCTGTCCATCTGTTAAAATTTTGGAGAATTTAAGGAACGCATTACAGGACATGTATGCAATTTTAAAAAGTGAGGGCAATTAAGTTGTTGACGTTAGCAAAGTTAACCTTCAACATAGTTTGCCAAACAGCATTGTCCATGGACATAGTGAAATGTGACTTGAGAGAAGTCAGAGTTAACAACCCACCAGGCATCTGGTGAAGTAAGTAAGTTACGGCTGCATAAGCTGAAGACCCCATTGAAGATAGTAATAAAGTCCTATCAGTAATGCTCAGGCCAACACTGGGCACAAAATTGTCCATTTATGAATGCAGAATGCACCGTTGCATGTCAGAAGAAGGTTCAAGGAATGGAAGGAAATGGCAGTCACTGCAAATCATTGTCTAACAGGAGCAGGTTCATGAAAGGTCAGTTGTGATTCATCCAGTAAGCACAGGGATGTCCAGTGAAAATGATAGGGAATTGTTGTTCAAATAACATAAGGTGAAGCCTCAGTGGTGACAACCATTGACACACAGGAATCAGTCATCATGATTTCCGAATCATTGTAAAGTCAAAAATCGAGTCAGCATCAGTTAAAGAAATCACACAAAAAGATTAAGAAGTTATGGAGGAGAGAAAACCCACAAATTCGGAAAGATTCCCACCAGTTGCAGTCACTCAGACGAACAGTGAACGAAATTACCTGTTTTTGTAGTGAAGTGTGAAAAACTAGCCTTATTCAGAAGAAACTGCTGAAAAATATTGAACAAGCTTTATTGTTTATAGAAATACTTCACAATACACGACAAAATGATTGCCAAGTATCTCCAGGTATTTGATTAATTTGACCACCCAATTCAAGGACATAAGGCCAACACACAAGTTTAGAGGGATACCAGACCAGGTTACTGCAGACCCAGTCCACTGCCCTATACTGTAAAGGTTGTGTTATATGAAGAGTTAGAGGTATAATTTCAGAAGGATGTAGATCATGGTTTCTTTGATCGTTATGATCAGCCCTTAGGGATGAAATTGACAAAGTCTAATTAGACACTATTTTTAGTAGACAGGGTTAGATCAGGACATAGACACAGTGAAACAGTGTAGAGCATATACAGCTATAGAAAGGAATCTGTCAGTGGTACCTTTGCAACAATGGAAATGGCAAGCGAGAATATGGCAGAGGCAGAATTTGAAGGGCAACAGCTATTCATTGTGATTGGTAGCCATTCAAAGTCGATTGAGGTATTTCTGATGAATTGATAACTAACAAAATGTGGGAGGTTTTACATAATTTGATTTGCTGCTTATGCATTCCTCAAAGAAATTCTGTCTAACAACTGGCTTCAGTTTTGTTTAGAAGAGCTTTCAAATTTTAGGAAAGGAATAAAGTAAAACAGTTCCCGACTTCAAATGGAGCAGCAGAATGCACAATAAATTCTTAAATATGCTGCTGTTATACAAATTCTAGATACAAATTGGAAGAAATGTTAGTATCATTGCATCACAAACTGCTGTTTTCACAGTTCATGTTACAACGTAGAAGACCAGCTGAATTGTTTCAATTTGGTATTATCCTAGGCACCATACTCAATACTCCAGTGCCTCAACAGCTTTTAGATATTTTCTAATTAACCAGTTCATAGATGTTACATTATCCAGGCCTCCTGGCTCAGAAATAGGGACAACAGCACTGTGTCACAAGAGCCCCATATTACATTGGAGCACGGTGACTCAGTGGTTAGCACTGCTGCCTCATAGTACCAGGAACCCCAGTTCAATTCCAACCTTGGGCAACTGTCTGTGTAGAGTTTGCATATTCTCCCCATGTCTGCATGGGGTTACCCCGCATGCTCCGGTTTCCTCCCACAGTCCAAAGATGTACAGATTAGATGGATTGGCCATACTAAATTGCCAGTATCCAGGGATGTACAGGCTAGGTGGATTAATGTGTAGGATGGTGTTTGGCCACGCGGCACAGGCAGTAATCCCAGATTACAACCCTAGAGGTCCTGCTTTCCAACATCCTACCTAACTCCTTTTGCAGGATGTCATCTCTCTTTCTGCCTATGTCATTATTACCAATATGGACCACAACTTCTGACTGCTCACACTCCTCCTCCATTCCATACCCCCCCGCCCAGAATATCCCCATGTAGAGACATCCTTGACCCAGGCACCAGGGAGGCAATACACCATCCTGGAGTGTTGCTTATAGCCACGCAGATGCCTGTCTGTGCCCCTGACTATAGAGTCCCCTATCACTACCACATACCTACACTTTGACTCTCCCTGTTGTACAACAGTGTCAGTCGTGGTGCCTCTCATCTGGCTTCTGCTGCTGCTGCTTTCCCCTGAAAGGCTGTTACCCCACAACAGTATCCAAAATGGTATACCTGTTTGAGGGGAATGGCCAGAAGGGCCTCCTGCACTGCCTGCCCATGCTTACTCATCTTCCTGGTGATCACCCAACTCTTCTCTGACTGTGTATCTCTTACTAGTGGTGTGACCAGCTTGCTAAACGTGCTGTCCATAACTAGTAGGATACATCTGTGTGGGTATTCCACAAGGCAAAGAGTGATTTTTTTTTATAAGAATTGTTCAGTAGCTTGATGTAGAGATTTTAGGCTGTGCCAGACAAGTCGCCAACCAAAATAACATGTAACAATACAAGGAAGTGTCTGAACTGGTATTCTTTGTGGCTCCCCCCACCACCACCACCACCACCACCTCTGTTTTAAACAGAATAAATTATCTTTACTTTGTGCAGTCTACATTTGATTATTCTTGAAACCTCATCATTTGAAGGGACTAAAATCAGTTACACAAGTGCATGTCTTTTCTTTGTTAGTGGAATATGTGCTTTATCAGATTTTGAATTAAGCTTTAGATATTCAGATATTCAGAGTTTAAGAACTTGCAAAACCAAATCTGCTTTTACTTGTTTTCCAATTTAAAAAACAGTCTGATCGTGGAGGAGGAAGTTTGTTGCAGTTCTAGAATAAAACATATAGCTTTGTGTTAAACTTTATTTTGGAGTCATTTAACTTTTTTAGCTGTTAATTTCTGTTGTTAATTATAGAATCGCTAAAACTACTTTTTAGCAATATTGAGTTGTTTAATTAGTTGGATTTGTATTACAGACTTGGTGGTTGTAAGTCTCTTCAAAATCCTATTGAGGGCAATAAGCCTTGCTTAGGTAGCAATATTATGTTGTATAATAGGAACAGAAAAATCTGCATTCAGTTGGTTAGCTACCACTTAAAGAAACAAAGTTAGTGTCAGGTCAATGACATTTTACTAGAACTACCCGATCCACTGGGTGTCTACAGCAGTTTCTATTAATGTTACAGATTGCCAGCATTTCATTGTTTTGCTTTTGTTTTATAGATGACATGATATGAATTGTTTCTATCAATGTGGATAAATATCGTACTTGGGATAGACAAGATTTTGAGTATGGCACTTGTTAGTGTGACTTGATAAATTCTCATGCCCTTGAGGCATATGCTGTTTGCATTTCAATTATATAGACAACATCTCCTTAAAATAGTGTCCCTTAGAGACTTAGATGAACTAAATTTTGGCATTTAATTTTTGTCTGTCTGTCTGTCTGAAATTGTAGTCTAATAATTTTCTTATGCAAGTTCCAAGAAAACGTACAAATAGCTTGCTTTACAGGTCGTATATTTATAAATTATGCCTGGTAGAGTTAGCAAAAAATCCTGAAACTTTCAACTTGAATCAACTACATTTAATGATGAAAGTTGCGACTTCACAAGCAAAATTACACGTGTTGCATTTTCTTTATTTCAGTTCAGCGGTTCATCAGTGAAGATCGTTTCCCACACCTGCTATTTTATGGGCCGCCAGGAACTGGGAAAACATCTACTATTTTGGCCTGTGCCAAACGGCTCTATAAGGGCAAAGAGCTAAACTCAATGGTTTTAGAGGTAACAACTGTTTTGAGTCATTGACTCATAGAGTCACAGAGATGTACATCATGGTAACAGACCCTTCAGTCCAAACCTTTCCATGCCAACCAGATATCCTAGGTTAATCAACCCCATTTGCCAGCGTTTGACCCATATCCCTCTAAACCCTTCCTATACATATACCCATCCAGATGCCTTTTAAATGTTGTAATCGTACCAGCCTCCACCACTTCCTCTGGCAGTTCATTCCATACATGCACTACCCTCTGCCTGAACAAGTTGCCTCTCAGGTCCCTTTTAAATCTTTCCCTTCTCACCTTAAACCTATGCCCTATTGTTTTGGAGTCCCTTAATCCGGGGAAAAGACCTTGGCTATTCACCCAATCCATGCCCCTCATGATTTGGTTGCCCCTCAGCCTCTAACACTTCGGGGAAAATAGCCCCAGCCTATTCAGCCTCTCGCTATAGCTCAAACCCTCCAACCCTGGCAACAATCTTGTAAATCTTTTCTGAACTCTTTCAAGTTTCACAACATTTTCCCATTGCAGGGAGACCACAATTGAACACAGTATTCCAAAAGTGTCCTGACCAATGTCCTGTACAGTCGCAACATGACCTCCCAACTCCTACCCTCAACGCACTGACCAATAAAGACAAATGTACCAGATGCCCTCTTCACTACCTGTCTACCTGTGACTCAACTTTCATGGAATTATGAATCTGCGCTCCAAGGTCTCTTTGTTTAGCAACACTCTCCAGGACCTTACCATTAAGGTATAAGTCCTGCCCTGATTTGCCCTATCAAAATGTGCACCCCACATTTATCTAGATTAAACTCCATCTGCTACTCCTTGGCCCATCGGCTCATCTGATCAAAGTCTAGTTGTACTCTGTGGTATCCTTCTTCCTAAACTACTGTTTTATGGCCTTGTAGGCATAGTCGTAGACCGTAGAGATCTACAGCACAGAAAAAGGACTTTGGCCAATCATGTTGGTGCCAGTCAAAAACAACCACCTAATTATTCTAATCCCATTTTCCAGCACATGGTTCATTGCCTTGTGTGCCCTGGCATCACAAGTTCATGTCTGAATAGACCATAGAATCCCTACAGTGTGAAAACAGGCCCTTTGGCTCAACAAGTCCACACCGACTCTCAGACCATCCCACCCAGACCCATTCCCCTATAACCCACCTAATCTATACATCCCTGGACACTATGGGCAATTTAGCATGGCCAATCCACCCAGTCTGCACATCTTTGGACTGTGGGAGGAAACTGGAGCACCCAGAGGAACACACGCAGACACAGGGAGGATGTGCAAACTGCATGCAGACAGTCACCTGAGGGTGGAATTGAACCTGGGTTCCTGGTACTGTGAGGCAGCAGTGCTAACCACTGAGCCGCCGTGCCGCCCTTCATAATTTTATGAGGGTTTTGGCCTTTATCACCCTTACAGGTAGTGAGTTCCAGATTCCCACCACCCAATGCGTGAAAAAAAATTCCTCCCATCTCCTGTAACTCTTCTGCGCCATAACTCAAAACTCTGCCCCTGGTCATTGATCCCTCCATCTAGGGGAAAGGTCTCTTCTGTCTATCTTGTGTATACCTCTCATAATTTTATACATTTCGATCATATCCCTCAATCTCCTCTGCTCTAAGGAAAAGAAATGCAGTATGTTCAACCTATCTTTAGCACTGAAACTTGCCAGTCAAGGCAACATTGTTTTGTCAGGGTGGGATCTTGTGAGCAGTCCTTGAAGCAGAGGCACATTCAAAAGCACTCCTTTCCCCGTTTTCTGCGCTTCAGTAATTTCAAAATTGTTCAGTTTTTGCTTCGTTAAACCATCTTGCACTTAACACTGTTTCAGGTGCCCTACAATAATAGGTAATGCTGTACTAAGAAATTGAAGCAAAGAAAATGCTTTCTGATCAAGGGATTATGGTAGCTAAATTTTCACTGGCCTACTCAATTTAGGAACTCATGACGATCAGTTTGATGTATCACACTTCACTTTAGACAGTCCTGGTAAAGTCCTGTACTCTCGTTCCAAAACAGTCTTTGCCTTTATTTAGAGAATTATAGGACTGAATTTTAATTAGCTTAACCAACTCAGAACATCATGCTGATCATTTTGGTGTATCACAATCCAAATCAGAAAGTCAAGTAGGGCTGTACGATAAAAAAAATCCCTCACTGTCACTCACTCATTCAATCACTCACTCCATCTCATCCATTTTATCACTTTTAAAATCAAAATATGGAAGTAAAGTTATGAATATTGGAAGCATTGGGAACCTCACAATTGACCTAAGTTAGTGTAGGTGGCTTAGTGATTAGCACTGCTGCCTCACAGCACCAGGAACCTGGGTTCGATTGCGCCCTCAGGCGACTGTGGAGTTTGCACATTCTCCCCATGTCTGCATGGGATTCCTCCGGGTGCTCTGGTTTCCTCCCACAGTCCAAAGATGTGCAGGCTAGGTGGATTGGCCATCCTAAATTGCCCATAGTGTTCAGGGATGTGAAGGTCGGGGGGGTTAAATGGGTCTGGGTGGGATGCTGTGAGGGTCGGTGTGAACTTGTTGGGCTGAAGGGCCTGTTTCCACGTTGTAGGGATTCCAAGATCTATGAAAAGAATAATATCAGCCAGTTTCCTTCTTGGCTGACAATTTGTTGAAAATTGCTTTATGCTCACTGTAGCATTCATAATATAAACACAGCAATACTGGTCACTTCAACAAGATATTGGAAGGGTTCCAAATTATTGTAAAATACTGCGTAAGCCAGTACTTTCAAGAAGAGTTCACAGATAAAAGTGCCTGATTTTTATATTTAATTAGGCAGCCATTTTTTTCGGTGCATAGCTTTTTTTTAAAAGAAATGGATAAGTAGCTACTTCTAGGTGAAGAGGAACATTGGATTTTAAATTATGCCTTGTTTAACATCATGGATTGTCTTATCAGTAGAGAAATTACTACTCCATTGATAATAGTTTTTAAATGAGAAATTTTCATATCTCTCTAATTACATTACATTACTGCTCTTACACATAAAGCACATATTTGTTCTTTCCAACTTTTTGTAATCCACATTCATTTAGAGTCTCTCAAGGCTGCTGATTTTGTTCAGATCAAAAATTGGAATGTAAAGTAATTATTCTTAAAACTTGTTACTGTTTGAGATTACCCCTTTCATTTGTCATTCACAAGTTTGAATTTCTGAGAAAGAGCAAAAATCTGAATAATTCCGTGTTAAAATAATCTGTGTGACACGGGCCAGTAATAACATGACAGCAAGTCATTAAATAGTCAAGTCCTGCTGTTCACAAATGTGTATATCCGTAGGAAACACTACTTACACATTTTGCCACTGCAAGTCTAATTTTTGTTTAACCACTAATTTAGCAGACACAACAGCAACAGACAAGAAGCACCTGGACAAATACATGAATAGGAAGGGAATGGAGGGATCCTGTGAGTGAAGACAGTTTTAGTATGGAAGGGCAAAATGTGGTGGCGCAGGCTTGGTGGGCCAAAGGGCCTGTTCCTGTGCTGTATTGTTCTATGTTCTTCTAAGGAAAAAAATTGAAAGAAAACATGCTAGAGTAGAAACTGCACATACACAGTCTGCCTTGTTCATCATTTGCAAAAATCACCATTTACAAGGTTTTCAAGGAACGTAAATCCTGACAAGTGACAGGTCTTTAGTCAAAAAACACGTGCATGAAATACCACTAATTATAATCCACAGAACAAAGGATGTAAGGTATAACTATATGTGAGTTAAGCACTAAAAATTAATCTAATGGTTACGTATAAAGTTGGTGCAAGTGCTGTCCATTATGTGATCATTTGTGAGGTTGCATATCTTCATTCTTCATTAGAAATGTGTAATAATTCCTTCAATTCAATAGAAAATTGTTGTGACAGCACGGTAACAGCGTGTTTCTCTAGCACACTGGTACATTGTTATGGGAAAAATAAATGTACTTAAGCCAGTAGTCTTAATATACTGAAATGATGTTTGTATGCTGCTGAAATTGTTCTCAGTAACAAATCACAAGTAATTCATTGTGTCTATAGAGAAATGTTTGAACTGTACAACATTGTAATCAGTGGTTTTTCACAGTTCAGAAGTTTCATACTCTATTGCTATTTCAGTGATACACTGCCCAGCTGGTATGATGTAGTTAACATTAAATTGCAACAATAAGAATGAAATTTCAGTTCTACCAACATTAGAGTTATTAGAAGATAATGTATACTTTACAGATTATTTTGCATGCCAGTTAAAGAGGATGCCGTTTATTTGCCATGTGGCCATTTAAGACTGTTACATGATTTTGTTTTTTCTGTAGCTGAATGCCTCTGATGACCGAGGTATTGATATAGTACGTGGACCTATATTGAACTTCGCCAGCACAAGAACCATTTTCAAGTGAGTACTATGATGATTTCAGTTTATAAAGAAAAATCTATTTGCAAACAGTGTTGCATCTGATATGGAGTGTTGTATAGGGACCATGATCCTGATGTTGTGAGGTGTGATAGAAGGAACAGTAAGTAACTCTCGCCGAGCTTTGTAACATATCTCCTCATCTTTCCTTCTGTACTGGTGTACAGAGTCAGTGACACAAAGACATTTGTTTCAGTGAACATTCTTCTTGTGTTAAGTCTGATCATGGAATATTAATTTTATCTGGTTGGCGGTAGCGATTATAACTCTGTTGCTTTTACAATAGTCATGGAAAAGAATAGGTACATACAGCAGGGTAAGGTTTATAATTGGGGGAAGGGTAATTATAATTCTGTTAGGCAAGAACTGGGTAACACAAAATGGGAACAGATGCTGTCAGGGAAGAGCACTATAAAAATTTGGAGATTGTTTAAGGAATGTATACTGTGTGTGCTCGATATGTTTGTCCCTAGCAGGCAGGGAAGATGCGGTCGAGTGAGGGAGCCTTGCTTCTCAAGAGAGGTCAAACGACTAGTTAAGAGGAAGAAGGATGCTTATATAAGGTTTAGGAAACAAGGATTGGAACACACTCTAGAAGGATACAAGTTAGCCAGGAAGGAGCTGAAGAAAGGGCTTAGGAGAGCTATAAGGGGGCATGAGAAAACCTTGGCAGATAGGATCAAGGAAAACCCCAGGACTTTTTACATGTACGTGAGGAATAAGAGAATGACCAGAGAAAGGGTAGGGCCGATCAAGGATTGTAAACGGAATTTGTGCACGGAGCCTAAAGAGATAGGAGAGGTCCTTAATGAATACTTCTCTTCGGTATTCACAACTGAGAGGGAACTAGTTGTAGCGGAGGACAGTGTGAAACAGGCTGGTAGGCTAGAGGAGGTGGCTGTTAGTAAGGAAGATGTACTAGGAATTTTGAGGAACTTGAAGATCGATAAATCCCCCGGGCCTGATGGGATTAATCCAAGGATTCTGTGGGAAGCGAGGGAAGAGATCGCAGGGCCTTTGGCGATGATCTTTTCATTCTCACTGTCCACGGGTATAGTGCCAGAAGATTGGAGAGTGGCAAACGTCATTCGCTTGTTCAAAAAAGAGAAATTACAGGCCAGTTAGTCTTACTTCAGTGGTGGGCAAATTATTGGAAAGGGCTCTGAGAGAAAGGATTTATGTTCACTTGGATAGGCACAGTTTGATTCATGATAGCCAGCATGGATTTGTGAGGGGTAGATCATGCCTCACAAACCTTATTGAATTCTTTGAAGAGGTGACCAAACACATGGATGAAGGTAGAGCAGTGGATGTGGTATACGTGGATTTAAGTAAGGCGTTTAATAAGGTTCCCCATGGTAGGCTCAGGCGGAAAGTAAGGAGACATGGTGTAGGGGGAAATGTGGCAGATTGGATTCAGAATTGGCTGACCCTTAGAAGACAAAGGGTGGTAGTGGACGGAAAATATTCAACATGGTGCTCAGTTACGAGTGGTATGCCACAAAGATCTGTTCTGGGTCCTCTTCTATTTGTGATTTTTCTAAATGATTTGGATGTAGGAGTGGAAGGGTGGGTTAGGACGATATGAAGGTGGGTCGAGTTCTGGATAGTGCGGAGGGCTGTTCTAGGTTACGAAGGGACATTGATAGGATGCAGAGCTGGGCTGAGAAATGGCAGGTGGAGTTTAACCCTGAAAAGTGTGAGGTGATTCATTTTGGAAGGACAAATTTGAAAGCAGAATATAGGGTAACGGAAAGATTCTTGGCAGTGTGGAGGAGCAGAGGGATCTTGGGGTTCATGTCCACAGTTCCCTGAAAGCTGCCACCCAGGTGGATAGAGTTGTTAAGAAGGCGTATGGTGTGTCAGCTTTCATCAATATGAGTTCAAGAGTCTTGAAGTTATGCTCCAGCTGTACAAAACCCTGCTTTGGCCACATCTGGAGTATTGTGTCCATTCTGGTCGCCTTATTACAGGAAAGACATGGAAGCGTTGGAAAAGGTGCAGAGGAGATTTACCAGGATGTTTCCTGGAATGGAGGGAAGGTCTTATGAGGAAAGGTTGAGAGAGGTAGGGCTTTTCTGTTTAGAACGACGAAGGATGAGAGGTGACTTGATAGAGGAGTACAAAATGATCAGAGGTACAGATAGAGTGGACAGCCAGAGACTATTTCCTAGGGTGGAGGTAGCTATTACGGGGGGCATAGTTTTAAAGTAAGTGGAGGTAGATATAGGGGAGATGTCAGAGGTAGATTCTTTACTCCTTGGCCCATCGATGTTTTAACTTTACCCAATCATGACTCCAGATGACTTGGAAATAGCTTAATCTAGTGAGATAAGAGTTTACATTTATGATAAAATTATTTGACAAATCATAAACATAGAATCCAGTGTAACTGGTCGATATAGTAGAGTGTAATTGCAATTGTTTCTTTCCATTAGAAGTTTTCATTGATGTAATTAAGAATATTAACCTGTTGGGGTTTTATTCATACATGTGAAGATGGGTTAATTACCAAAGTAAACATTTTTTTACTAAGCATGTTCATTCATGCACCCATGAATAATTTGATTTTAAGATCACTAAAAATAACTTTTTAGAAAAGCTATACTGAATCATTGACTGGTTTCATTGGTATACACTGCCTCGGGGCCCTTCTGGTGTGGTGGTAATGTCCTTACCTCTGGGACAGGAGACCTGCATGAGAAGTGTGTAAAAACAACTCTGAACAGGTTGATTAGAAAATAAGTACACTACCCAGCCTCATAGCAAACAAAATATTTGTTGATTGGAAAAATTGAATACAATTTGTACAGCCTTCCTTAAACAGCAGGATTTTCTGTATATTGACCTAGGACATTGTCACTTTTTATGGTACAGCCCAACCTATTTTAAAAGAACATACTAATGATTAAAATTCCCAGTAATTCTGTGCTGGTTCACCAATTTCACTCAGACGAAGTAGGCATTACTAGTGAAATCCTCTTCCTAGGATTTTGTTACATTTGTAGTTTAATAACATGGATGAATGGTGGCAAAGCAGTAATTTATTTACTGGTCTGCTGTTGAGTGCTTGGGTAATTTTTCCCATGTTTATAACTGATAATAGTAACTAAACAGTTAATTTGAATTAAAATTGTTATTACTTGTCTTTGTCTTATCAATCATTGAGTTCTGACCTTGTTTCACTGTGCTTCAGGCTACTTAATTTATTAGGATAAGACCACGCTTTAAAATGAGGGAAATGTTTGAAACTTTGAATTTACTGACTTGCTTTTGAATTTCTCCTTTTCTTAATTGGGAAACTTGTTCTTGACAAGATGAAGAAGGGTGGCGATGAAGATGGAGAAAAGGGTGGGGACGATGACACATTAGTACTTGACCACTGGGTGATAGCAAGAACAGCAGATGCTGGAGTTGGAGTCAATACGGGGTGGAGCTGGAGGAACACAGCAGGTCAGGCAGCATCAGAAGAGTAGGAAAGTCAACGTTTTGGGTTTAAATCCAAAACGTCAACTTTCCTACTCCTGTGATGCTGCCTGACTTGCTGTGCTCCTCCAGCTCCACACTGTATTGACACTGCTTGACCCCTGTCTTGACCGCAAAGTATTCTGTCGTATTAGTGTCAGTGAGGACCGTTGCCAAAAGTCTTGGTGTAGAAGAGACTGATTCGTCAACATGATGATGAATTTCACTGGACAGCTTGCCTTTGACGGGATCTTCTATAGCATTTCCTGATTGACTGAATCAAAAGCTATGGGGGTCAAATCAATGAAGGCCATATAGAGTGGTTGGTGTTGTTCCTGGCATTTCTCTTGGAGTTGTCGAGCAGTGAAAATCATGTTTATAGTTCCATGGTTTGGTCAGAAGCCACAGTGGCTTTCAGGAAGGATTTCCTCCAAGTCTGGGAGAAGGCATCTAGCCACGATTTGAGCAACAGTTTTCCCGGCAATGGAGAATCAGAAGATTCCTCGATAATTCCCAGAGACTCCTTTGTCTCCTGTCTTGAAGATGTTGGCAACGGCAGCATCCCTGAGATTGCAGGGATTTCTTCTTTGTCCCAGATTTTCGGGAACAGTTGATGGAGATGACTGGTAAGCTCTGCTGGAATGACAACTACTTCTGCAGCTTTCTCATTCTTCATGTGTCTGATGGAGGCTTCAACCTTTGCCACATTAGGTGGGAGTCCAGGATCATCTTTGGGGAGTGGGGGGATTTCCTCAAACATGTACTCCTTGGTGATTTTTCGCGGTTAGGAGTTCTTTGAAGTGTTCCCTCCATCGGAGGCTGATATTTGCTGTGTTTCAAAAGGATATCATCTTTACTCCAGACTGGTTTGAGACAAAAGGTGTTGAGTCTTGACGAAGTATGTGTTGCCTTGGTGGCACTGCAGAAACCCCAGGTGTTGTGTTTGTCAGCAAGGAGTTGTGACTCCTTAGCTTTCTCAGTTCACTATTGGTTTTCCTGGTTCTTCTTTGTAACTCTGCCTTTCCTGTTTGTGTCCTTCTCTTTGCCTTACTGGTGATATTGCTTTGCCTTTCTTGGAGAGCTTTCCTCCTCTTGTTGATGAGGATGATTTGATCATTCTCATTGAACCAGCGTTGGTGTTTCCTGGTCTTTGTAACTAATGGTTTCTTCACAGTATGAGATGATGGCTGTCTTCAGCTCTTTCCAGTTTTCCTTCATTCTGTTAAAATGAACTCTTTGCAGATTTTGGTAAAGACATTGCTGGATGTTTGTTAGTCTCCTTGGCTTTTGAAGCTGCTCGACACAGCTTTTTTTCTGAACTGTTTCTTCATCTTCAGCTACTTCTGTTGCATTTGTTGGACATTTGAGGGGGGGATGAACTCGTGGTCTGTCCAGCAGTCGTCTGCACTGATCATAGATTTCGTAATGAGGACATCCTTTAGGTCTCTGGATCAAATGATGATGCAGTTGTATGTGTGCCAGTGCTTTGATCATGGATGCCTCCAAGAGGTTTTAAACTTTTCTTTTTGATGGGACAGTGTGTTGGTGACGACAAGCTGGTGTTCTGCACATTTGATAAGTAGGAGAATCCCACTGGTGTTGCAGTTCATGATTCCTTCCTTTCTGATGGTTCCTTTCCAGAGTTGGGTTTCCCTTCCAAACCTAGTGTAAGAGGAAAATTTTACCGTCCTTAGGGATGTTCGTGAGTACAGTGTCCAGGGTGGAGTAGAAGGCTTCTTTAGACTCATCGATGGTGTAGGGTTAGAGCACTGACACTCACAATTGTTGCCTGTTCGATCATGGCAAGTTGCAGACGGAGTCGATCGTTGATGCCGACGGGAAGCTCCAAGAGTTGGTTGACGAGTTCATTCTTAATAGCGAATCCCATTCCATGCATCCTGGGTTGATCCTCAGGTTTTCCTCTCCAGAAGAATGTGTAACCACAACCATCTTCCCTCAGCTGCCCTTTGCCTACTCTTCTGGGTCTCCTGCAGGGCAATGATATTAGTGTTCAAGTCTCTGAATTCATGGGCAGCAAGGGCAGTTCTTTGTTCCAGCTAATTGTTTTGCTTGTTGTCCATGAAGGTTCGTACATTTCAGGTTCCGAGATTGTGTTTCACTTTGGTTTTCAGGCCGCATGCAGGTGTGCCTGCTGGATTTGGTTTTCCAACCAGGTCGGTGACAGAACAGACTATTTTTAGGCCACCTTTTCTAGTCATTTTCCCCGTGCAGTGTGAGTAGAAAGCATCCTGAAGTGGCCTGCTCAGTCATGAAGAAAATTGTCAAAATGTACTCCTGTCCATATTCCAAGAGAGAAACAACTGAATCAAACACCACAGCTTATGTGCCAGTCTGAAGCTTTAGGACTTCCACATATCTCAATCCTGTCTTCATCACCTCTCCCTGATTGCTGCAGGGCTTGTGTTGTATGTGTGGAGCTGTTGAGTTCTTCTAGGTAGATGCCTTAGTAGCACAACATTTAACATGAGAATGCTGTTGCACATCAGCAGACACATGGACCTTGACATACTGAGGTCTATTTCTAGTGGCAAGGAAACTGCAATGACTGGGGATCTCCCTACTGTTGCAGCCTTTATCTGCTGTCGCAGTTGTTGATATCACACAACTAACTTCTGCCTGGAACAACATTGAGACTGGTTTCGGATTGTACTTTATCCGGTTCCTCCCCTCCAACCTTACCATCTTGGGTGGCCCTACCAGGAGTTGAGAATTCCTGGTGGCATCACTATCGGTATTGACAAAACACTCAAGCCTGCCCACTGCAGAAAGGTGGCAATCCACGGAAAGGTGATTAAGTATAGGCTACTCTAGTTGATATCATTTCACAGCAAAGGACCTAATCTGTGACCTGGTCTATATAGAACCATAGAATCCCTATAATATGGAAGCAGGCCATTTGTTCCATCGAGTCCACACTGACCCTCTAAAGGTCATCCCACACAGACCCACTTCCTACCCTATACCTGTAATCCTTCATTTCCCATGGAAAGTCCTGCATGTCCCTGGACAGTATGTGCAATTTAGCATGGCCAATTCACCTAACCTGCATGTCTTTGCCTGACATTGTACTGAGTCCAAAAATGTGTGTATAGATAATATAAAATAATCCCAAGTTTATCCTCTTCTGTGAGTTGCTACTAGTCAGGTTAGCAATAGAGATACATGAATTGGACGTACTTTTTCTAGACTTAGAAAGGAAGGCTACATTGACAAAGCTTTCAAATCCTGGTTGAATCCTATCTGAGTAAGTGCATGTGTGGAATTGTTGAGCATACTAATGTATGCTATCCCAGATCACATGAAGGATGGTCAATTCTTTACCGATTAAGATCATTTACATATCTATGTTTGTAACCCAGCAACTATTTATCAATTCGTAATTTTAAGATATTGTCTTCCTACATTCCAGTTCCAGCAGTTTTAATGTGATATGAAGACTGAATAGTTGGAGTGTTAGCCCCACTCATTGACCATGAAATGTTACCAACCTTGAACATTTCACAAGAAAGTATTCAATTATTTTAATTTTTTTCAGAAAGGGTTTTAAGCTCGTTATCCTAGATGAGGCAGATGCAATGACGCAAGATGCTCAGAATGCTCTCAGAAGGGGTAAGAACTGGAAGTATTAATTTTAATGAGTGCTTATCCTGCTTCCCAGTTTTGTACTTTTTATTTTGCATCATAGTTCTTACCATGCACCACTTAAATGTATATATGCCTCACAAAAGCAGTGCTTTGAAAACCTCAGAAAATGAGCAAGAAATGTGTGGTTTACAGCATTGCGAGGCAGGTGAGTGGTTGGGGAGTGTGGGGTGGAGAGAATGCGCAAAACAGCACACCCTTTTCTCTGATATTTACTTATTCCTTTTATAACTTTGTGTCAGTGCCCCTGAAGATAGCACTGTCTCTGTTAATGCATGTAAGTAATCGTTCTTGGGGTCTTTACAGTTCATGAATTGGCAGTACACAAAAATCTACAGTGACTCTTTCATTCCCATTTGGTTCCCCTCCCTGTTGGTATCTTTAGTTTTGCTTGTTTGCTTCTCTAGGAGCAGCAATTTGATGTGCGCATTCTGTACCACACTGCCCCCAGGCTTCATATTTTTAGCTACAAGTCTGGGTGTTTAAAATGCAGAGGAGGTCTTAGATGCTTTCAAATATACACCATATTTTCATGGACTACTCACTTGGTACTGAAATTAATGTGCATAATACAATATTTTACGTGCACTGAGTTCTCTATAAACATTAATTAGCAATATATTTGCATTTAACCTTGTGAAAATTAATGCTTCAAAAGAATAATGATTGGATGTTATGTCAGTTGCATTTAAAATTGAAACTTATTTTTAGATCTGATTAAGAATATTTTTTCCATTGTTTAAATCCAATCAAAAAGTCATTTATCCCACTTCTGTGTGCTGTTTTTCTCCATTTCAAACTCAAAATAATTAATTGTTTGTGATGCAGTTATTGAGAAATTTACAGAGAACACCAGATTTTGCCTGATCTGTAACTACCTGTCAAAGATCATCCCTGCTTTACAGTCTCGATGTACCAGGTTCCGATTTGGACCGCTGTCACCAGAACAGATGATTCCAAGATTGGAGTTTGTCATCAAAGAAGAAAAGTGAGTGTCCTCATTGTACTGCTGCTCAATTTACTGGAGAAAGTTAAGGCAGGAATCAACTATCCATTCTACCTGTTAATAGTTTCCATCCTTTTCTGCCATCAACTAGTAAAACCTGTTATCTGGAAATGATGTACAAAAGACAGTTTAGCAGAGGTTGTTGTGCTTCCTTTTTGCCATTCTTTGTCTTCATCAAAGTTTATTCAATAGTAACCTAAGTAGATTCTGATCTCATGCAAGGTAGCATTCGTAGCCATTTCTGTGCGGTGAATAAAATGTTACCATCATTCCAGAAAAGTCAACTAATTCAACAGCATTTTGTATATATGTGTTCTTTAGTAATTTTTTGAGAATACACTGTCTTTTGAAATTTAGGTAAATAGAAATCTAGCCTAATTTCTTTTTAAGGCGATAGGGAGGAGGAGATAGATGTTCTAAAATACCACCAAGCTGATGTCTGTTGATGCTATTTCAAGTTTTATTTAAAAAGAGTATTAATTACAATGTATGTGCTGTCCATCAGTTAGGTGTCGCTGCAGCCACATTATTCTTTGCTTAGAAGGCATGGGCCTCTGCTCTAAATTTTCTAACAGTCGTGCTGTGAAACAGCTCACTAGCAATCACGCAACTGCAGGTGATTTTCCTTTCTGACTTCCCTTTCCTGTGGAGAAATGCCTTCGCCTCAACTTAAACGTGTTCCCAAAGCAGCGTATCTATGGGATCCAGGTATTAGCAGTTGTAAGAACAAAATTAGGGTTCTCCGGACTTGAGCAAAAGGTTTTCACGATTCAATTAAAATCATTATATTAAAGCTAAATGTTGAAGTATTGTTTCATTCCGTCCTCCACTAATTAATTAAGTATGCACTCTCTGTACATATTACATAAATACAGTTATGCTCCATTATGCATGTAATGACCAATCCAAACAAAATATTTTTAAAATACATAACCAACCTCTCTTCAGCAGAAGTTATGTTTTCAGGAAAATTTGGTGATGATGGGACTCTGACGTCATTAAATCTTCATTAATAACCTTACCTAAATTTAACTTCAGAGAATAAGATCATGTTCATGATATCAGTAATGATTTTGGAATAACACTCAATTACGTTTGGAGGAAAATGGATTTTATTAATATTGTAATCAAATTTGAAATAAAATTGCATTTCAGCATTTAATGATTTAGTTTTAATGCCACATCCTTAAACATTTATCTTTCAGGTTTACATATGTAGTTTCTAGTTTATGGAGCTCAATGTCTTCATCGACTGTTACAGTTCTAACCTAACTGATCAGAGGCTGTGTTTCTGCAGGACAGGACTGGTCCCTTTTTTGTTTATTTGTAGTGTGCCAACTTCTGTCACATAACTTGTTTGTCCTTTCTGTGAAAGATTCTGAGTTCAAATGCCACTCCACAGTTATGAGTTAAGTATGTATTTACTGGATTACTATTAATTTTTGATTCTCTTGCTTGTAGTTAGGTTTATTACCTTGGCTCCTTTTTTTCAACTGGGTGTAACATGTGCAGTGACTTTACTGCTTGGGAATCATACACCAAGTGTGGAATATGATGCCCTCCCCCATGATGAATTTGGCAGTGGAGACATTAGACCTCCACAATGATTAAGTCCATGTACCTTCCCACTCCAGCACCAATTGAGACCCTTGCATGGACAATTACTGCCCATTTAAGGGCCTTATCCCACAGCTACTGGAATTAATCCAGTGGTCGTGAGTTGGGGAACTCACCACTTGTAAGTATCAGTGATGGTAAAATTATTACCCAGCAAATTAAATTATAAGCCTGACTGTAGTTTAAATGTATCACTATTTTTTAAGTAGGGTTCTATTTAGTAACATGAGAACAAAGTTATGTTCAGTTATAAACTTAACAGTATGACCTTAGGAACGTTTACTTTGTAGTTGATGTTAGCACATCGGCTTTTGGTTTGCAGCATCATTTCTGATGAAAAGTCACCGAATGCAAATGCTGCAGATGCTGTCAGACCTGCTGAGTTTTGCCAGCAATTTGTTTTTGTTGCAGTGCTAGAATTGTTTCTTTATTATGTGAATATTGTTTATATAAACAGTTCCTTAAGTTGCGAACTGCCGTTGTGCTGGCAGTTCTTACTGAAGTCTTGGAATGTTCTATCATCTGGATTCTGTGGCTTCAACTCTGACCACTGCACGGAGCTATCACCTTCACTTAAGTAATCATTTCTCATACTTATACTGCACTTGGCTCCATGAAGAAACAAGTTATAAAATTAATTGCTGCAATAGACCTTGAAGTCTTTAATTCTTTCCTAACTCTTCCGTATTTCATGTTGAAAGCTTCTCTGAACTTTCAAAGACTTAAGAACAGGAATAGGCCATTCAGCCCTTCAAGTCTCCTCAACCATTTAATTTGATCATGGCTGATCAAACATCTCTTCAATGCCTTTTAACCACACTATCTGCTTCACCCTTGATTCCATTAGTAATCAGAATTCCATCAATCTCTGCTTAAAACATACTCCAAGACTGAACTTCCACAACCCTCCAGATTAGAGAATTCCAAAGATTCTAAATTTCTCCTAATCTCAGTTCTAAGTAGCATCCCCTTTATTTTCTTGACTTCTAACCAGGGGAAGCATCTACTATGTAAATCTCTTCAAGTGTTTTGTAAGGTTCAATAAGATCACCTCTTGGTCTTCAAAACCCATTGAGAATGCAGGCTCACTTTGCCTAATCTCCCTTCATAGGACAGTCCCACCATCCTGGGAATGAGATTGGTGAATCTTCATTGCACTACCTCTCTATGACAATAATATCCTTCCTGAGGAAAGGAGATCAAAACTGCACACGTTAGTTCAGATGTTGTCTCACAAGCTTCTATACAATCGAAGCAAGATTTCACTATTCCTGTAGTCAAATCCACTTGCAATAAAGGCTGACATTTCATTAGCCTTTCTAGTAGCCTGCTGCACCTGGATGTATGTTAGTCTTTAGTGACTCATTGACAAAGGCATCTAGGTCCCTTTGTACATGTATAATTTCCAACCTCTTGCCATTTAAGAAATACTTTGTACATCTGTTCCTCCTGCCAGTATGGAGTAACTAACATTTTCTACATTATATTTTATCTGCTATGTTCTTACCCACTCTCAAATCTTCCTGAAGCAACTTTACATTTCCACACAACATACATTCCTGCTAAGCTTTATACTGGGAATATTGCTTTTCATCATTGATGTATGTGTTGAACAGTTGGGGAACCAAACAGGGGTCCTTGCAGTACCCCGCTGGTCATAGCCTACCAATGTGAGAATGACTCATTTATTCCTGCTCACTTTCTGACTCGTGCCTCTCTGTTCCTTTTTAAAGGTGTACCAATAGAGTTTCAGAAATGTACCATTTCACTTGCATTGCCTGTCCTCATTCTTCCTTCCAAAGTGCATCACCTCACAGGTTTTTGCCATGTGACCTCTTATTTCACTAGCCTTGCTTAAATCCTCATTAAATCTCTCTTACTATCTTTCCCATCATTTACTATTTTTCCAAGTTTCACATCATTTCTAAATTTCAGCAATGTGCCGTACAGCCCCAACTCAAAGTCATTGATGTGTTTTTTTTAAAGAAAGCAGCACACCTGGTACTGAACCTAGGAAAATAGGAGTCTGTGCTTTTCATCAGTTTAAAAGGCAGCCCTGTACTACAACTCTGTTTTCTTTCTATTAGCTGCTTTGTATCCATGCTGCTACTGCCCTTTCTTCACCCATGGATGTGAAATTCGTGAATAAACTCAATATGTGGCACTTCTGAAACTCTATTGGTTTCAACCCCACTACTGTCATCCATCCATCCATTAAACAATAAGACATGGGAGCAAAAATAGACTATTCAGCCCATCAAACCTACTCAGCCACTCAAAGAGATCACGACTGATCTGAGAATCCTCAGTTCCACTTTCATGACTTTTCCCATAATTCTTGTTTCCCTCATAGTAAGACCATAAGATGTAGGACCAGAATCTTATGCTATCTCAGTGAGAAACTATAATTATCCTAATACAATTTAACCTTTAACAATTCTATTCTGAATCCCCTTTTTATCAGTCTTTGCTTGCACAAGTGGTTGTTAATTTTCTCCTGGATTATTATTTTTAAAGCTTAAACACCACTGACATTGAACTGACCAGCCTGTAATTGCTATTTTTATCCTTCTCTTTGTCAATTATAGTGTCAAATTTGCAATTCGCTGGCACATCCTGTATCTAGATATATTTAATCAAACTCTTCAGATGTGCTGCAACACACCTCTGGAGCAGGTGGGACTTGATCCCGGGCGTTCTGGTCTAGAGTATGGCCACTACTACTGTGCCTTAAGAGCTCTTACCACTGTATCTAAGGAGCATTTGAAGCTTGTGAATAATGCCTCTTCAATTATTTGCCATAACTTCTCTGAAAAATCTATAATCATATTATTAAGACTAAGTAACTTATTCAGTTTAAGTACTGCAAACCCTTTTAGTTTTTCTCTCTTTATTTTTTTATATATCTTATCCAGTATACTAAAAGCCTCCTTGTTTATTGAACTTTGGCAAGTTCCGCTTCTTTGGAAAACACTGATTAAAGGTACTCATTTTTAGTACTTTAGGAATGCATTCACCTCCAGCAATAAGTCATTTTGATTTGTAATCAGTCCCATTGCTCATCTGAGTGTCATTTTACTGTTAAAATTACAATGGAAGACCTTTGGGTTCCCCTTTATTTTAGCTGGTAAACTGTGCTTGTACTTCAACTTTGCTCAATTCATATTCACCCTGATTCTCCTTATGTGATGGGATTGTCCAAACACTTCTCTGGAAATATCCAGTCTCAAAAAAAAAAGTAGGGGCTGGAGCTTCACCATTCAATAAGATCATGGCTGATCTGATTGTGGCCTTAACTCCACTTTCCTGCCTTTCACCTATAACCTTTAACTCCCTTGTATGGTAAAATCTGCCCAACGTGGACTTGGATATATTCAGTTACCCAGCCTCACCTGCTGCCTCATGTAATGAATTTCAAAGACTAATGACTTTCAGAGAAAAGAAATACCTTCTCAACTCCATTTTAAGTAGAAAGCCCCTTATTTTCAAACTCTGTCCCCTGGTTCAAGACTCCCCTGTGAGAGGCAATATTCTCTCAGCATCTTCCCCGTCAAGCCTCTCAGAATCTTTACATATTTCACTAAGGTCACTTCTTTATTCTAAACTCCAAACTAGGCCTAATCGACTCAACTTCCCCTCACTTTTCTCATACTGCTGAGGATTATTTGTCCAAAGAAAATGTACTAAACCAGCTCTAATGAAAGGTTCACCACCCAAAATGTAACTTCTGTGGTTAAATCTGTTTTTATCTCTGAGATTTCCTGATTTGATGAATGTTTTCAACGTATTTTATTTCAAATTTCCTGAATCTTTTTGAAATTTTCTTCAGTATTACATCTTTATTCTGTCTTTGTAATATCTTGGACTAAGCCTAAGTACAGTGAGCAAGGATACAAATTAATAGTACCAAACTGAAGCAGAATGTATGGATGGCTTTTATATTGTAAAGATTCCAGAATGATAAAAGGTTAATTTTTTTTAAACCAAGGATAATCCACAAGATGTGCCTTATACAAGCAAGAATCGTTAAATCACTTGTAATCTTTATTATAAGTTTTGACCATAATAAATCACTTAAAGAATTTTTCAATACAAATTTACAGAGATAGTTAGTCTGAATGTTTCATTACAGTGTTGACATAACTCAAGATGGACTGAAAGCCATTGTGACACTCTCTAATGGTGACATGCGCCGATCTTTGAATATTTTGCAGGTCAGTAATTTGTTTAATGAATTACTTGTGTTATGTAAGAGTTAGAAGTATTGGCTTTTCCTTGCTTAACACTAATGGAATCATGTTCTGAATCAAACAGAGCACAAATATGGCATATGATAAAGTGAGCGAGGAAACAGTGTACACCTGTACTGGTCATCCATTAAAATCCGACATCGCAAACATCCTTGACTGGATGTTAAACAAAGACTTCACCACTGCATACAGGAGTATCCTTTGGAATTGAAACCAGAAGAGGTTATGTGCAATATTGATATTTTTACTGATACAACCATTGTATTTTGTCTCTGTGTTAAAAGTTGACTCATGAAATTATGTAAAAGTTAAATGGAAGTACAAAGTTTATCGCAGTTAATCCATTTACTATCTGTCCCCCAATAAGTAAAGCCCAGCATGCCCATCCCATACTTATGTCCTCGCCCACTGTTTTTCAGCCACACATCTAATTTATTTTTCAATGTTGACAGGCACTGAGGTTTTTGCACTTTCCATCCAGGAAGGTTTAATGGGGAGAAATCTGCAGCCTACCTTTGTCCCACTGGATTGAATGTCAATCAGACAGGCGAATGGTTGCTGTGGAGTTTTACACTGGAATTACAAATCCGGAGCAGGAAGTCACTGCCTGGAACTGCCAGCAATATTCTTTTTAGGGAGACAGGGGATAGTGGCCAGCATGGTGGCTCTGGGATTAGGGACCATGGGAGAGGGGGCAAGCTGGCCGGAAGCAAAGACAGACCCTTCATCTTGCACAAATCGGTGTAAATTGACAAAAATCACCGCCTGCCACCCTGACTATGTTGACCCATCTGATAATTTGACTTCTTTCAACTTCTCTTTCTGTTGGGAGGGGAAAAATCCCAGCCATAATTTCTGTTTGAATCAGAAATTCTAGTGGTGCATCCCACAGGAAAATAACCCAATGAATAAAAATAAATAAATAATGTTTTCTGTGCTCTGTTCTAAGTCTTACTTTTCATTTTTCATCACTTTCTTTTCATTCTTGACCCTTCAACCATTGAATAGAAGCTGTTTCTATCTACCTGGTCTCATTCAATCTACAACTGAACATGTCTTTATTAAATCACTCTTTAATTTCCTCTCCTTATGAAAATTTCTCATCTTTCTGTTGTACTGCCCTGATCCAGATAGCGTCCCGGTTAATCTATGCTGTATCCTCTTGATTGCCTTGGCATTTTTCATGTACATTCTCCTTGTGGCTGACTAAAATTTTATGTGTTCACTGTTATATCTAATCTTAATTCATCACGAGCACTTCTAATTTGGTGACTGAGTCTTCAAATGACATGTAAAATAAATTCCAAGGTTACTAGGACTATTAATATATGTGGAAAGCTATTCAGAACCAAAATACAAGATTCTTGATAGTCACTGAAGCCACAGCTTAGACTATAAACAGCATTGCTAGAAATGAAGGAGAGACTTGTGATTAATTTTTCAACTTCCTGATTGGAGTGGAATTAATAAACAAATGGAAAATAAAGAAAAATCAGGCATGCATTTTAAATGTAACAGCATTACCTTGAGCTCTAATTATGCATTGTTTAGGGGAGGCAGTGATGTAATGATATTGTTACTGACCTCATAATCCAGAACCTCAGGCTAATGTTCTGGGTATATGAGTTTGAATCCTGCCATGGCAGTTGGCGAAACTTGAATTAAGTAAAAATCTGGACTAAAAGCTAGCGTAATGGTGACCATGTTGATTGTTGTAAAAACCATTTGGTTCACTAATGTCCTTTTTAAGCAAGAAAATCTGCCCCACAAGTGATTCCAGACCCACAACAACGTTGACACTTAACCACCAGCTCAACAATTGGAGATGAGAAATAAATGTTGGCCTGGCCAGCAGACACCTACACCCATGAATGAATTTTTTAAAATGTTCCCAGTGAAAGTCTAGTTGTTTATGCAAAATCAAAATACTAGTGAATAGACTATAATGTCTTACTGCATTCGCTGTAACCAAGGTTGAGACCATCTGTCATTTCTTTTCCTTCCTTCCCAAGCCCCCGTACCTAACTTCCTCTGAGCAACTCCCACCCCAACATAGCCCTCAACTTGTTGCCCTTTGCAGTTTCTCTTATGTCTTCCTTCAATGCCTTGTTCAAGTTCATTTTCTCTATGAGATCCGCACTGTTATGTCATCACCATTACTTTAAAACTGCTAACCATTGAAATTCCCTTCTTGGTTCCCATTCTGGACCTGACGTTATTAATGAATCTCTGTCTTCGGTTTTGTTCTCTCCTTCAAATCAGCTGCCATCATCTCTTTCAAAGCGCCAACACCTGACGCCTCTGTCATAGTCAACTACTCCTATCTCAAACCTTTTCTGTCCAAAGTCCTTGAATGTGTCACCTCCTACATCTGTGCCCATCTTTCATGGAATTTAATACATGAATCCCTCCATTGATTTCTCGGTTTGCCACAGTACCAAAACTGTTCTTAACTATGTGCCAGTGACAAAGATAAACTTTTTCTCCTCATTGTATCTGAAGCCTTTGACACAGCTGACCACACTATCCTTATGTGCAGTTCACTATCCCAGAGTAGGTTGGATGCAGGGATATTGAGGAAATTTAAGGAGGAGATTGTCAATTAAAAATCTGTCTATGAATTGAAGGGTTATGGAATGTGGGCATAAAAATGGAGTTGAGACTGAGATGGGATCAGCCATGATCATATCAAAAGGCCAAATGGGCTGATTGCCTACTCCTGCTCCTAGTTCTCATGTGCTTCTCCAACATCATTCAGCTGAGGGAGGTGGCAGGGGCTGGACTTGACCGGGTGATTTACATCTATCTAATCTTGGTTAGAGAATCATTGTAGCATTGTACTCCCACTCCCAGGCCATTATTTCTACTGTCCCCCAAAAGATTTATCTTTAGCCCCCTCCTATTTGTCATTCACATGCCGCTCCTAATCCAAACACAAAATAATTTCCATGTGTAAACTAACAATAACTGTACCATACCAGATTGATTACAAATAAGCAAGCATAAAATATAGGAACAGGAGTGGGCCATACAGCACATTGTGACCGCAGTACCATTTAGACTATTCTAAACACCTCATCCATTCCTTTGTTAACTGTTGACTATTCTAGCACACTCTATGCTGATCTTCTATATTGTAAATTTAAAGTCGTCCAAATCTCTACTGACTATGTTGTAACTTGCACTATTGTGCTCCAGTGCTGTTTGATGTATACTCGTTCCTGGTTAAGCACATAATTTCAGAATTCTCATTCCAGTTTTCAGATCCCTTCATAACTGGTCCTCCTCCTATTACTGAGCCCTGCAAGCCTCTCAGATATCTGAGCTCCTTTAATTCTGGTTTATCATCCCTGATTTTAATTGCTTCACATTGACAACTGTGCCATTAGCTACTTCAGCCTGAAGTTCTGTAATTCTCTCCGTTCACCCCTCTACCTCACTTTTCTCCTACAAAGACCTAAATCCTCCCTCTTTGACTGAGCTTTTGGTCATCTATCCTCCTATCTCTTTATGTGCCTTTGTGATATATTTTGATTTGTAATGCTTCGGTGAAAGTCCATGCATTGTTTTATTCTGTTATAGATGCTGTATAAATTCATGGCTTATTGTACAAGTGTCATCTCAAAACCTGTCCAAAACTTTAGGTGGTTGAGAAAATGCGATTAGTCCAGACTGAAAATTTCTAATGACTATCTTGTGTGATGACTTTATTTATACTGCAGCAGAAGTTCCAAAGCTAAGGTACTTTTTTTTAATGTGGGTGAGTTGCTAGGATATTCGGTTTAAGTAAAGATGTGCTTTTAAAATTCCTCAGCTTTCTTTCAGATATCATGGAATTAAAGACATTAAAAGGTTTAGCCCTGCATGATATTCTGACTGAGATCCATACTTTTGTGCACAGAGGTAAGAGGTCTGGATCTAATTAAAGGGAATTATTTGCTTAGTGGCATATTGCAGTTCTATTTGCATTTGTTTCTTCAAATATTTACTATTGATAATTTTAAAGTAAACAGCTGCTGTCAAGAATCTATTCATTGTGTTGCCTTTTATAAGAGAGATATTTCAGTATTTTCACAGATTGGAGAACAGCTCTGAACACTTTCTAATTTAATGTTTTAAAGTCTTTCTTCTTGGCTAGTCACTGTTAGGTTGGGAATATTCTCATTTCTTATGCCATGTAAGAAAAGGTTAAAGTGAAGTTCTAATAAGGACAATGTGACATTTGACTTTTCCTTTCCATTCCTTTTAATTGTCTCACAGCTGTACAGTGTGGAGACAAGTGATTTACCAGCCATAATTGAGAAGTTAATATTTTTGCTGAATTCATAGGAAAGCTGTGGTGTATCTGCCTGTGTAAAAATTCATTTTAGCTGCCTTAAGTTCCTGGAAAAATTTTGATTATTTCCAATTGGTGATTTTGCAAAGTGATGTTATGTATATTGTTACCTTGGCTCAGCAGGTAGCATTGTCAGCCCCTGAGTGTAAAGTCACATTGCAAGAATTGAGCACACAGTATTGGTTATAGACTCTGTTCAGTTTCCAGCTTTGGACCTTAATGTGATAAACTGAAACCTCGTCTCCAATTTCAGAAGGATGTTGAATATTTAAGAAGAAATTAATGCAAGGAGTTCTCCTGGTGCCTTTTTGTATCATGCTTGGACTTAAAAAGAAATGTTCATAGGATGTGGGCAACTGGGGATGTACTCATCCCTAGTTGCTCTTGAAAAAGTGATGGAGAGCTGATTTCTTGGAATGCTGCAGGTACTCTGAATAAAGCTGTGAGGGAGTGAGTCTCAGGATTTTGGTGACATTGAAGGAACGACGATTTCAAAGTCAGGTTGGTGACTAGCTTGGAGGGGACTTTGCAGGTGATGATGTTTCCATGTATCTGCTGCTCTTGGTCATTCTAGATTGTGGTGGCCATGGGTTTGGAAAGTGCTGTGTAAAGAGCCTTGGTAGATTTCGGTAGTGCATCTTGCAGATGATACACACTGCTGCGACTGAATGTTGTTGGTGGAGAGAGTGAATGGCACCACATCCACAAACATTCAAGAAGACAGCTTAGTCTTGGGCGTTCTTGGCAAAGCTGGTATTTTCACTGATTTCAAGCATAGTTTAGTGGCTTGTGTGGCCTGTTGAGAAGGTAATTAAAGATTTCATTTAAACAAGACAAAGTAAGGATGATAAGTTTCCCTCTTAAGAAGGACATTAGTAAGCTAATTGTGTTTTTATGATTCACGGTCTGTATTATTTATTGTCAACTTTTTTATACTGAACTGAATTTAAATTCCCAAATTGCAATGCTGAGGTTTGAATTGGTGTTCTCTTGTTTACTTCAGTAACTTAAGCAGTAAATTACTGTAATAGTTATGACCAAATTTATGTCTCAACTAACATTGCTGAAACAGATTAATTATTATTTATCATACTTGCCATCAGTGGCACAAAATCAGCTATCACGATTGCTTGAATAGCAATGGTGACAACTTCAGATTGTGAACTTCTTTGTGAAAATGTGAAAGATACTTTGTAAATGCACGTTGTTGCTATAAGCAATGGAACTGCCTGTGGATTGAAATTGTCATTTTGTTACCAATTGGTTGGGTGTCAAAAGGAATGAGCTGAATTAAAATCCAATTGACTCGGGGGAAAAAAAAAATCATTGAAGGTTCTCACATCCATGTCGATTTATAACAACCTTTTAATTCAGCTCATTCCTTTTGATTTAGGTGCATTTACTGAATATGTATGACATATAGGACAAGAGTGTGGCCCTCTTGTGGACCAGTGATAGCACCCCTACACCTGAACCTGGAGGCCCAGGTTCAAGGCCCCCCTACTTCAGAGCAGTGTAATTGCTCCTGAACAGCTTGATTTGAAAATATCTCTCACATTGTACAAGAAGAAACCACACCAGATTTCCTCTGTCCACTCTTAAATAACTGAAATAGCTCAGTTAAAAGAGTGTTAGACTGAAGATCTAAAGGTCCATGGTTCAATGTCATAGACCAGATGGATCAAATGACCTCTTTCTTTACCATAAGGTTGGGTGGTTAGAGCATGGTGCTAATAATCCAAGGTCACAGATCAGCGTACTGGCTAATGTTTCTGGCGTGTGTGCCAGACTTTATCATTGGGCCACAACAGTCCTAATAATTATTGTCCATACCTCTGAGCTAGGAGACCTGTGTTCTCGTCCTACCTGCTTCAAAAGTGCGACATAACTTCTCTGAACGTGTTGTTTAGAAAATATCTACAATGTTGTCTTTAGAAGGTTCTGGTGATAAGAAGTTGCAGAATACAAATAAACCCATTATCTAATTTCTGTTTGTGATGTGAATATTACATGGATGGAAATCAATGTGCCGGAATTTTCCCAAACATCATCCTTTTAAATGATTTATGTTGAATTCATTAATATCTCATTTAAGAAAAAGCCTCAACTCCTTCATTTATGTTATAAATATGTGTTTTTCTTAATATTAGTGGAAACTTTATTCCTTTATAACTAAATATTCTCAGTACCAATCATGGACACTCCATCTCAATTTTGTAGTTAAGTGCATGACTTAATTTTCCCTGGAGATAAGTGCTGTTTCATTTCCACAGGAAATTCAAAATCGTTATATGCTCTTTCCCTAGGGTGCTTCTGTAGTAATCACTGTAAGGATATTTGTGCAGGCTCTTTCTGTAATTAAATGAAGTATTTAGTGTTGCAGTATTTGAATATTATCAATTGTAGCCAATGAGCAGATTGTTTTTCTTTGATTCTTTCATGGGATGTGGTAGTTGATACCCATCCCTAAATGCCCTGGAACTGAGTGGATTGCTTCATGGTTAGGAGTCCATTTTAGGTCAGACTGTACAGATGGCAGATTTCCCTCTCTAAAGACATTTGTGAAGCAGGTACGTTTTTACAGCTATTGATGGTTTTTTGACACCGCTAGAATTACTAGCTTTATCGTGCCTATTGAATGATTTTGAATTCCATCAGCTGTCATTTGAACCTCGGACCATTAGCATGAACCTCTTGATTACGAGTCCAGCGACATTACCACTACACCACTGCACCACTGCTTCCCAGGGGTTAATGTTGAAATTCCTTTGGTGATATTTTCATCAACTTGGCACAGAGATTCTGGCAAGCAGCAGAGCAGGAACACACACCTCTACCCCTGTTCAAAACTGCTCCATTAGTATTTTACGTTGGAGCCTTAGGATGTTATTGTTTTGACTTCAACTTGAATCCAATGATTGGACAAGTTAGAAGGTCTGATGGCAAAGCCCTATTCCAGCAATGCCAAGTCCGTTCATGTAATACACTGAAGATATGCACCTTGAGCTCTGCCTTTGCTCAGTGATTTTCACTGTTTTAAATGTACTTGTTAACTGTTTTTGATGTCAGGTCATGCCCACCACAAACTTCTCTATACCTTGTCACTACTGACACTGTTCAAACTGTCTCCCACCACTGTTCACATCCTCCCGCACTCCTGGATGGATGTGAGTATGTAGGGATGGGAATGTCAGGGCTAGCTGTGGGAGGGGGTGATAATAGGGCAGGAAATACAGGGTATTGAAAGGGATGGGATTGGTTTCAGAAGAACAGGGGGACGGAGGGGAGATAGCAATGTTGGAAGGGCTAGTGGGGGGAGAATGGAGCAGTATCAGGGGTGTTTCTGGAGTGCTTTGATGCTGTTCCTTGATATAAAAGGCTGTACTTGTAGCACAAACAGTGCTAATAAATTGAGGTATAAAATTTGGTAAGTACCAAACATCCAAAGTTTATGTACTGAGGGGTTCTGAGAGAAGTAATGGGCAAGGGCTTCCATAAAGCCATTTCTGGCGAACTAGATGTTCAGGATTTCAGCATAAATCAGCTCCCCATAACTTCTGATGCCTTTGCAACTCTCAATATTTGTGAACATGTCAGCACTCAACTGCTGTTGATATCAGAAATTCTGGGCCTTTCTGTTCAAAGCGGCTAACCTCAATTTGGACCTTGTTTTGCTCAACACCATGGTTTTGTAACAGCTAAATCCAAAAAAAAGCTGTCATGTTGTATGGACCAAGGAAGCTGAATAGAGAACATCCTGAAGAGTGCCATTAATCTCTTCAAAAACATTCGGTAAGGTGAATAGAGCTTAAGTTATGCAAAAGCATTAAGATACACCTTGAAAATAAATTTTATAAAATAGGTCTGTAAACAGTTCATTTTTATTTTAAAGTATGTTTTGTGAAATCAGGTATAATTTCAGTCTGTCACGTAAACTGGGCATTACATGTCACTCCGCATTACTATGGAGATGTTTGTGGCAATCTCCAAGGGTCCATTCTGTAAATAGTGTAGTTGATAGCATTGTTACAGCTGTGTGCGTTCAGATACTCAATACAGACCAGGTCTTGCAACCAACACCATCTGCTGGGTGACGCTGGATGTTTTCTTGCTCTTGTCTCCTTGGAGACTGTTGCAATTTCCATAACAACGTGTTCACTGGTAGGTGGAGCCAATTGGTGGCTTTTAAGAATAGAGTCTGATAAGTTATTAATGTACTTGTTACGTAACTAAACGGTCAGATTTACCTTTTGTAGATTTTGTAGTAGTGCATTATTTTTGAACTATTGCTCTGTGTTGGGTTACTGCTGTTGTCAGTTTGCTTCAGAATATTGTCCACAACAAATTAACTTCTATGTAATAGAAACCTCACAATTGGATTCAGTACAGAAAGTAGACACAATTACACACTTTAGTGTAACCTGACTTCTCCTCCTACCCTAATGCCTCTCTCAGCGTGTGCATGTTAGGATTAGTGTTTAATTTCTAAGTAGAACTTACAATTATGATAGAGAAATGTACCGTTTCCAAATCCTAAAAGTTGGTATTATTCAATGGGTGAATCTCGAGTGTCATGTTCTCCTGCCTTTGCACCCCTTCTGCTGCTGTCTCTTTCCCTCTTCTCAAATTGATTGTTGTCAGATGCTTACTTTTTCCCCTCTAGAATATCCTGCACAGCACATTATTCCTACTTGATGCTCTCCCTTGAAAAAGCCTTTGGCTAACACCCCTAATTTCTCTTCTGGTTTTGTGAGGGCCTCTGGATGCTTTTTCTACAATTAAATATCCTAATAATTGTCAGTTTTTACTTGCCAGATGAGGGCCAGTAAGACTAGCATTATTTTCATCAGAAATTGCTTTAAACTACTCTCCTAAATAACCTAGCAAACTACTTACTTAAGAGTCAGCTACATTGCTGCAAGTCTGGAGTTATGTGTACACCAAACCGGGTAAGGATGGGAGATATCCTGTCCTAAAAAAAATTAGTGAACCAGATGGATTTTTTAACAATCTGGTAGTTACTTGCTCATCATTACACTTACTAGCTTTTTAACTACAGATTTATTTTGTTAGCTGAATTCAAATTCTTCAGCTATCAAGATTGGCTTTCAACCCATGTCTCTGGATTATTGGTCTTGTTCTCTCGATTACATTTTATATAATCACCTCAGAACTTGTGAACCAAGCAAGGTTCTCAACTGTGTCTTCTGTTAGGCTCAAACTTATATTCCAAACAAAGGAGTTTATCATTTGATTCTGTTGCAGAGTATGTAAAGCAGACCGCTAGGAGGTACATGATACCAGACAATGGACTTGCTACTTTCATCGTGTTGAAACTTCGCTCATACTGTTGTACTCCTGTTTTTCAGTTGATTTGCCACCTTCGGTTCGTACTCATTTATTGATCAAGATGGCTGATATTGAGTAAGTATTACTTCAAGATTTTCTTCTTAGGTGCAAATCCTAGGGTTATCCATCTCTTTTTAAAATTCTTTGTTTGTTTAGGGATGACATTGGTGCTGTGGGACATTATTGGAAAGCTGAGTTTTTGCCAGGCTTAAAAATAGTTTAGTCAACAGCTTCATTAAGATAATATTACACTTTTAAAAAGTTGTATCCAGTTTTACCGTCATGCAGTGTGAATCTCCTTCCCCAGAAACACTGGCGAAGTAGCTTCATTTCTGAATTCAAGATCAGATATTCCTTTTATTTAGCCAACAGTCCCCGTTTAGAAAACAAGAGGCGTCTGCAATTTTTCACTGGAGCATAGGAGGTCGAGAGGTGACCTGATAGAAGTTTATTAAATAATGAGAGGTATAGATAGAGTTAATGGTAGTTGTCTTTTTTCTAGGATGGAGCTTTCAAGACTATGGGACACATTTTCTCAGTGAGAGGAGAGAAATTTAAAAAAGAGATGAGGCAAGTTTTTTACAGAGAGAGTGATTTGAGTATGGAATAAACTTCCTGAGGAAGTGGTGGATGTGGGTACAGTTACTACGTTTAAAAGACATTTGGGTAGATACATGAGCGGGAAAGGTTTGGAGGGATGTGGGCCAGCAGTAGGCAGGTGGGACTAGTTTAGTTTGGGATTATGGTCGGCATGGACTGATTCGACCAAAGTGTCTGTTTCCACGCTGTGTGACTCTTTAACTCGATTGTGTGTTTGGGTGGCAACAGAAGACGGAAGAGATTTATAAATGTTACAAGTACTGAATAGTACAACAGCTTTTATTGTCAAAGAACAATCTTTAATTTTTTAAAAGCCTGATGACTAGTTCCAAATGAGCTAAACTGAAAATTAGTAATGTAGTTACCATCCTAAAAGTTAAACAGTTGGGTAGTTTTTAACATAAAGAGGCAGCTAACGGAGAATAAGATCTATAACTGTCTTAAATACATTTTCATGGAAAGAGTTCTTCTGAATTGGTTTTATTCTAAGCAAGAAATTGAGATCATGGCTGTGACACTTGTAGCAGCTGTTTATAAAAAGCCCAAACACTATACATTTTGTGAAATCTACCATGTTATCAAAATGTTGTAAGCATTTTAACATTGTTTTCATCCATGAACAAGGAGAAAGAGAGAACAGGTAATATAGACCAGTTAGCCTTCAGTCAATAATCAAGGCTGGGGTGACTTACAGCTGTAAAGATGGTCACGTGATCAGGGAGCTTACACTGATTTTGTCAAGTATAGGATATACTTGACATCTGATTAGTTACAGTACTCAGGAATTTAAGGTGGCTAAGGGCTGATAAATGGAGTTTAATGTACTAGATATAATGATGTGATCATCCATAGTGTTGTATGGGCATATATGCAAAGGTGGTCAGTGATGTCACTTGGCTGTGGCAGGACAGGGTACAGGAAGTGCCTGTGCATGTGCCATCAACATCAGTGTTCCATGTGCTGTGAGGTCATTAGAGCATATGCTGATGACAGGGGGTCCTGGAGATGAGGCAGAGGGTTGGGTCCCAGCAGGAGCAAGACAGTCTTCATTTTGCCCAGGAGCGATAGGAATGCTGTTTGTAGAGTGGGAGGCTACAGCAAGATGATAAATCATTTTTATGTTGTGTAAGCTGCTTTTATTTTACATCCTGTTGCACCATCTAGACTTGGTGCTTATAGAGTAGTTAGGATAAAATTAGAATGAGACTTTTTTTGGGAATGGAATCAAGAAACACTTCTTTACACAAATTTTGGTAAAATTTAGAGCTCTGTTCTATTAATGGGAATTGGTGCTAGATCAACTGGTCATTTCCAAAACAAAATTGATGTTTGTTTAGCATCAGAGCAATTTGTGACAGCAGTAAGTATCAAACATTGATTGCTATTAGTATGGTACCAGGCTTGATATTGTCCTCATTCATTATTATCTACAGATTTTTTTGAAGATGGTTGTTTGAGAGGATTGATTATACAAACATGGAGGTGGACATTGAGAGAACAGTTCTGCTGGAAACATTACTGTGATCATACAGTGGTGAAAAGGAGCAAGCAGAAGTACAGGAAATAGGATGGACACAGTTGAAAGAAAAATTTCAAAAGCATTAGCATGCAGGTGGTGGTATCACTAGAGATGTTTGAAAGAGAGCTATTGTCTGTCTCATTCTCGATCTTTGAGGAGGTGCAGATTTGTAAAAAAACAATGAGGGAAAGCTTCTTCTGTGTTTGAGTCTGCCAGGAGATCAGTTCAATTGAGGGGGCATTAAATAATTGTTTGTATTCAAATGATATGCATTGGTAGATGGAAAAAGGTAGGAGAATGGCATTAATTAGTGGTCAGTGGATAGCTTATGTAGACAGGAGGCTAACTGGTCCCTTTCTGTGTTACAACACATCTCACTGAGTCCTTGCAGGAAGTAGGGTGGAAGTTTAATAAAGAGGTTTATAGTGGATATTGGTCTAATTATAAATAGATTTCTGTAAAACAGACAGTGCAGTCAATAATAACTACTCATAGCAACCTTGTTGCTATGGTTAAACTAATCTGGAGTGTTTGTCATAGGAGCCCAGAAGATTGTGGGTTGGGGAAGGAAAGAGGATATGGAAGGGAAAAGCCCAGGGCTGAATTGCCTCTACCTGCTCCTTTGTTTGCTTTTATGAAAACAGCTGACAGCTTTAAAATTTACTTTAAACAGGTACAGATTGGCTTCAGGAACTAATGAGAAAATTCAACTGAGTTCACTCATTGCTGCATTTCAAGTTGCCCGTGATATGGTTGTTGCTGAAGCTGAATGAGTTTGTATACTAAGGTTGATGACTTGATACCATTAAAATATTTCACATGTGGTTTTGCCTGGTGTCTTGTCCAAAGTTATTCAGTGGAATTTTAAAACAGCACTAACAACTTACAAAGCAAGATGGATGCAGCTAATGCAGAAACTGACCTTGCATGCATGGATGTATGTTCATACAGAACACAGTACTGACCTGTAAGCCAGCTTCTGCTCCTATGATGCTGCTTGGCCTGCTGTGTTCATCCAGCCCTGCACCTTGTTGTCTCTCATTTCCAGCAAATTAGTTTGAGAACTGACCCACAATTAAATTGACTTCCCAAACCAAGATTTTGTACAATTCCTGCTATGCTAGTCATATAAGAATCATCTCTGGTGTTCAGTTCAGTATTTTTTCCCCTGGGTCTCTATTTCATTTTTACTTTATTTCACTTGTTTTTCAACATTTGTCTTAAAGTAGTTCTGGAAAACCAGCAACAATGATTCTATTTTCACACTGGGTTTTGCATATTAATCAAGTGCCACCTTGTGGACACTGCAGTGTTGGGGGATTTAGGTCATGGAAATACATGACAGTTTCTTAAGGCAGTAACTGACATTAAATATCAGTTTTAAAATACACATCTTGAATTTCAAATCTGTTCAGTTGTAATGTTATTATGTTATTACACTTTTACAGTAAATAGAACAGGTTCTTGCCGTTCCTTGATAAAAAGCTAAACTGCTTTTAATGCTGTTATAGTTCATCTCATATTTGCTGTGGCAGTATGAATTTACACATATATAGCAGCTTTAACCTCCTAAAATATCATGGCCTGTTACAGCATTACATGGAGGAAAGTGAGGGGGTGGGGAAATAAAGTTATTTCCACAACAGTCCAACATACAGGCATTTTTGTCTATTGCAAAACTGCAGATGATTTTATAGGAAGAAATTTCACTAGAACAAAAACTTGTTCTACCACACTGTTCAAATCTAAAATTAGTTTTCTCTGGATTCTCCTTGTAGCCAGTTGACAAATGAAACATTTATACTCCAGCCCCATTGCAGTAAAGGCCAAAGTAAGGAAATACTTTTAGAACTGTACAGGCCATTGATACATTCCTACCTGGAATATTTGTAAAAATTCCACTTGCAGTGGAAGGACAGAGGAGGTTCACTGGACCAATTCCTCAAGGCAAACCCTTTATCTCATGAAAGGTTGGGTGGGTTTAATCTTAATACTATAGTGTGCAAGAGCAGGCAGTGATCTTCCCAAAACAAGAAAGATTGAGGGGACTTAATGAGATAAATATTGTGGATGTTTCCTTTTGTGGGGAAAATTGTAGAAGTGAGGGTACAATTTAAAACTAAGAGGTGGTCTCATTTAGACTGAGATGCAGAGGAATTTCTTCAGAGGGCTGTTAATCTTTGGCATTCTGTTCCAGACAGAGTGGGGGGCTGGACCATTGAATATAAATCAATGCAGAGTTGAACAGATACTTGATCTACCAGGAAATTGAGGGTTTAGGGGCGAGTGGTGGTAAAATAGAGTGAACAGGTTAATCAGACTAAATGATTTTTTTTGGTAACCAGTGGAGGAAAAGAATGGGTTGAGCAAAGATTCCATATTTTTACCATATCTACATTGCCAAAAGAATTTGACAGTGTCTTAACATATGCAGACATGTATTATAAACAAGTTAAATTTTATTTCTAAAAATCAGACAAGAAAAATAAATACTGAAAATATTCTATTCTTTAAATACAGAGAAAATAAACAATGGGTTTGTGTACAAATAAATGGTTCATATCAAGCCTTCTCCAGTTGCACTCATTAAATCAGTTTGGAGGTACAAAAATTTTAGTGCAGTGACAAGACTAATTGTGTGCAGTTAAATAGTTGCAAGTGATTAATCAAAAACGTGTGACAACACCCATATTAAAAAAAATTGCATTCCATGGGAAATCTACAACTGATCATAACCAACTTTCAAAACCCATTGAGACAAAAATTCCCCCATGACCCATCAATTTAGCACAATTTCTTGAATATGGATTTTCCAGAATTAAACTTGCACCTTTTGCCAATTTTCTTTATCATGTGTATTTGGTCAACCTTTGTTTCTTTCCTGCATTTTTTGTTATCAAAATCTGTCACTTGTAGTTCTACACCAGCAGGAATTAAAGCAAGTGCATGCAGAAAACTTACAAAAATACCATGTTAGAAGGCAGGCTAGACCAGAAGTTACATTTGGGTCACAAAGATCTACATCTGGGCTGTAAATATTCAATTCTAGCATAAAAGGTGATAAAATGACAAGGATGGAACAGTGACCAAGTAAGAAATATTTTAAAAATGAAGAATGGCTACATCCAGCAACAATAAGATTCCAATCAAAATAATTAAAAGATGAATCTGTAATATTCTAGTTAGTCATAAGGTACAAACCTCAAAAAGGCAAATTTAAGACACTTCTCTCCCCCCCCCACCCCCAACCCCAACACTAAGTTAAATTTAAATCATTAAACCCATAAATCAGTGAAGATAAAAATTTTAAAGGAGCAAGTATGAAATCATGCCTAGTGTCTGTCTGGATAGATCAATAAATGATTAACTGGCTAGAAGTCTTCTTTGTGCAAATTTACAAACTAAACTGGAGAATTAAAAAATGATACTATGCTGGAGGGATTTGCTTCTCTAAACTAGAAGTTTCATAATTAAATAACATTTTAAACCTTCAGCCTGATCTACAGTGGATTTCCACATTCAGAATAAATATTATACTTTTGATCAGTTGCATGACTCTTCACAATGTGGAAAATTCCAATGATATGCAAAAGATTGAGGTGGGGGGGAGGAGTACTTTGTTTTAAATTGGATGTAATGCTAAGCAACTTTTATAAATTGGAAAGGCTCCAGTGACAATTCTTACTGGAACCTAGATGTACATTTTTAAAATCAAAATAAATACAATATTCATTCAAATAAATCCTGGTAAAAATATTATTCATTATCTGCTACTATTGAGATAAGGGTTCCCTCCCATCCTGTCACTTTACCTCCAAGTGTGAACTAGAACTTATAAACTAAGAACTGTTTTATCTTCTTTGGAACTGGCAACAGCATAACTTGGTGGGTTGTCATCACGTGGCGCACAGCATTGCGGCAAGTGTGTTGCAGAGTTGGCAGCACCCTAGGTACGGTCCAGAATGTAACATGACCATCTCTTGTCCTGGAACAACATTGGGATGGGATGGAGAAAAGACTAAGTTGTAAACTAGTTTGTACACATATGTATCATACTTAACATTGGAGAGAATGTTCAGCAAGTCATTTTTCTGAATTATTCAGTGCCAAAACAGATCATTCTCATGGGAAATGGTTCCAGCCAGCATAATTACCATCCAATAAAACAACAGTTAAAATTAGACGGTGTGAAATTTGTACACAGTCTCAAATCTGTACTTCCCAATAGGGCAGCATAGATTTGTAACTCTTCATTGGGAATCCCCTACACCATTCTGGTTACATAATGACTCAACTTACTGCTTAAGCATGTATGCTAAAAGCAAGCAGAGCAACAATTAAACTTGTAGCTCAATACCAGACCTGAAAGCATCCTTACCCTGTGGCCAACACTCTACCATGTGGAGAGAATGTACAACAGAGCCCATTAGCCAGGGGAGCAACATATACTGGCCTTTGTAAATCCAAGCACCAAATTCTCAGCAATCTAGACATAATAAAAATTTTAAAATTACAAATTGTATTTGTTCAATACAAAATCTACAAAGACTGACTGGCTGATGTCTAAATTGGCATTGCAAACCTGAACAAATTAAATAGCAAACTGAATAGCTAAGCCTGTAAGTTTAACAAAGTTAATACGGAATATTTCAAATTCTACTTATGTACAAGTTTAATATTAAACTTCAATAGCTGATTTCAAAGTTGAATGACAACACAACTAATGATTTGAAGAAAAGTTGTTTTGCTGAGAAAAAACACAATTCAGTGGTCAGAATCTGAAATGAACTGTTTTAGAAAGTGAAAAGGCAGATTCAATTAGAATTTGAATGGCCATTGGACGATTGCCTGAAGTGAGAAATATTGCCGTGCTATGAAGGTGGCGTTGGACTAGTCAAGTTGCCATCTACAGAACTGGGGTCGAGACCAAATGCCATATGGTCTCCTGCTATATTGTACCCAGTCTATGACTCTATAAGTAATCAAGATGTTGTAGAAGACTTAGTACTCAAGTTGCTTCATTGGAGATCCTTGTTAAATAAACTGCACTGTTCCCTCGAAGATGTACAGCTGTCCAAGCATATCCCTTGGGGCCTGCATAGGTCTAAGAAGCTGAGCATGCATAGTAACAACAACAACAACAACAACAACAACGCCCTCGCTCTCACTCACACACACATACATAAAATCAGTGTACAGTAGTTTGGGACATATTGATCTTACCCATCATCTGCTACTGAGGTAACATTTAGTCCCTCCTGGGAAAAGGAGACTGCTCTTACAAATCCAGTACGAAAGCCTTCATCAACATCCAGAGAAGCTGGTGGGGAACAATGCCTGCAGTACCAAAGCTTTACATTAACAGAGGTTGTTCTGGTTTAAAAATCAATTTTAAATCTGGATTTTCAGTAATATGTTTTAAAAATAAATTTTGCACCTTTTCAAATTTATAAAATGCAATTTTTCCCCTCCCAATTTGTAAGGAGGAAATCTGCTGAAATTTATTGTACCAGAAATCGAGTCCAGAGATGAGCATGAAATCATCTGTACTGGCACAACATCTTGAAGAACTGGAATAATAGATTCAGTGCCCAGGATAAATCACAGCACCTGGTACTGCCAGTACTAATGAGTCAGCCAAGAAACACTGGCCACATGGAGCTGGGAAATCTATTCTAAATGCTCTGGAAACTTGCAGGAATGTTGGGTGCCTGATAGCAATTTAAGTTACTGAAAGATTACTTGAAATGGCCACAGTTGGGTTGTCACTGGCTTTCCAGATAGTGAACAGCCACGCTACTGTGGATGTTAAATCTGGTCCTATCCTTCTTTCTCCACAGGTATTGCCAGGCTGGAGTATATCCAGTGTTTTGAAGTTTAAACTTCAAATTTCTAGCCAAATAGGAGTCTGAGATCAATGCCACTTATTGTATAAAGTACACAAAGACTTAGGATAAGGATTTAATGTTCACACAACATTGTTTTTGCATGCAAAAACATTTTCCAAGTGTAGCTAATTAATTTCAAACAAATGCTTCTTTACCTCAGCTTCATCAGGCTTTCTCCAGTGTATGGGTCCCACACAATTACATAGGTGTCATAAGATGCAGTAGCTAGTAATGCTCCATTGGGGGAATATTCACATGATACAACATCACCTCCATGACCTTCTAGTTTCCGAATCACTGTATATGTTACTGTACTCCACAGCAGTACCTGTGATCACAATGCAATTAAACATAATAACATTAAGAAACTGTAAAAGCATCAAACGTGAAAATCAGAAATTATATGGAATTAGCTAGCAAGCAGTATTTAAAGATGAGGCCGAAAATATAATTAGGATTTCTCAATAATTAAGATACAATTCCCAATCCATTAACATAGCAAGTGCCTCTAAGCGCTCATGAGTCTATAACTCTTACCATAAATGTTTATACATCTATAAAAATTCAGGTATGAGGTCTGCCTTCTGCTGTTACAAGAAAAGCCAAATTCTATGCTGTAACTCATCCACGAGGCAGTACATCTGCAGAAGGATTTTATGCCAGAACTATTTGAGCCAAGGTAAAATAAAAGTTACATGTCAATTACAATACAGTTGCTACACTATTTTCTAATTCCTATAAGTGAGGTCATAATTTATATAACCTGAACTGTAGTAGTTAATGTCTTTGACATTACAAAAAGCAATCCATCATGCTTGACAGACAAATAACAAAACAAGATAGGTAATGTTGCCAACACCTTCCAAACCCACGACTGCTACCATGCAGAAGTACAAATGCAGCAGATACATAGGAATGTCACCACCTGCAAGTTCCCCTCCCAAGCCACTCACCCAGACTTGGAAATATATCACGATTCCTGTGTTGAGTCAAAATTGGAACTCCCTCCCTAAAAAGGTGTTTTATGTACCTAAAGCAAATGGACTGCAGCAGTTCCAAAGAAGATCCTTCCAAGGGCAATTAGGGATGGGCAATGAATGTTGGCCCAGCCCGCGAGTGACTTTTTCTAAAAAAAAAGCTTGGTGAAACATACACGTTTACAAATTTTTTTTTTTTTTTGAAAAAAAAATGCTGAGTGGATACAGAAGAGCACAGATTCGCATCAGCTTAAAACTAGATTCAGAAAGCTATCCCACACAGGTCCAGTAGTGTAAACTGAATCACTGAAAGATCAACTGCCATTTTAGAATGAAATCAAAAGAAAGGTATAAACAAAAAGTACTGGCTTATATGTCAAATCTACAAGGAGTTTGTACTGAACTCCTGGGTGATTGCCACACCATATTATTGAGGGCACGCAGGTAGGTAGGTCATAAAATTCACTATTATTTCACAATTCTTGCTGATGGCCTTCAACACAGCTGCAGATATCTCAGCTATTTCAGTAATGTCAAGAAGAGATGGAAAGAAATAAAGAACAGATGGAAAAGTAAAATTTAAGTGAATTAGATTCACTACATCAACTTCCAACATTGCCACAGAATTAGGTTAACAGACTCAACTGAACATTATGCCAGAACAAGGTTGAAAATGAATGTAGATCATCAAATAGGTGCAGCAATAAAATATGCATAGTTTCTGATTGAGCAGTCACAAAATGACAGGCAACCTTCATTTACCAATTACAGCGACACAAAGTTGAGCAATCTACTTTGATCAGAATGGGTGTGAATTTTGCAAACATCTCAAATGCTGGCAATGTTTGTTCAGAACGCGAAATTGGGTGTGCAGGAGGAAATTGTGAGCATTAGATAGTGGGAGTTTACTTCCAGAATTCCTTTCCAATATTCAATAGAACAGCCTGCAATTCTTTTAGAATTGCTAATGATTTCTAATAAGGGACACTTTTTAAAAATGGCTTTAAGTATAAGGTTCAGTAGCATTGAAGTGTCATTGTTTAAGGAAAAACTAAAGCATGTATGTAAAAAGAAATGTTTCTTATCCAAAAAGCTCACACTGATTGACCTTTACAGATAGAAACTTACCGTCCTTCCCCCTCCTACAGAACAAAGCATCGTCGAATCAGGGGAGACAGCACAACAATAAACCCATTGGTCGTGACCTTTTAATATATGCAGTAGTTTACCTGGAGGAGGGTGGAGAGAAGAAAGTAGCAATGCATCATAATGAAACAATCCACAGCTAAAGAAAGGTTGCTTAATTCATTGTTACAATTATAAGACACATTCAAAAGTAGCAGCATAGCATCCCAACTATGAGAAATATTTCCGGTGACAGATTATCAGGAATTCCAGTGAACTGAAATGTGGTATCATCTATTCAACAAGTACATTTTTTAGATTCTTAAATCAATCATCACATTGCATCAATCATCAAACTTGATTCAAACATTTAGTTGACATTATTCATTAAGTTGGTGAACATTGAAGTACTTTTTCCAAATACTGATCAAAAGATGACAAGACTAAATTGGTTAACTAAATATTAGCATCCAATAAAATGCTAAATTTATGACAAAATTCTATTGTTCCACTAATATTTCACAAGTGCACATTAATGCTGACTGAACAATTGCACTTTTAAATTTGCTTTTGTACCATTTGGTTTGATTTCCTCTGCTATATAATGACTGCTGCTCAAGTTACTTATAATCCAAATTGCTGATGGATAGATAAGAATGCCTGAATGTTGCCCCCACCCACCTTCCACCCCGCTGAAGCTCTTTGCTACTGTCTAACTGTAATCAGTCTACTGTATTTATAGATACTTATTTGCTTATGATATTGAATGATCAATATATTGGGCAACAAAAACAAAGGTATGAAAAGTTGGACAAAAAGTACATCCCAAACATTTTTTTTATAAAAGCAACTAGCAAAAAAAAAAGAGAAAATTGAGATTGGAGTAACAGCTAAAAAGATGAAGGTGGCAGGATCTCCAAAAACATAGCCAACCTTAAATGACAGTGAAGCCCAGCCCTCAGTTGTCAGACTTCTGCCATATTGATTCATTTTACTAATGAAAGGATTGTCACCTATCCTGCTATGAGGCAGCCCTAACTAATGTCACAACTCATTACTACTTTGGTCTAAAGAAAAAGCAGCACAAAAAAAGACTGAATTACAATTGATGAAGTAAAGTTAAAGTAACTGCCCTTGGCATCAAGGAGTGCTTGACCAATTGCAGCATTAAAAGGAACTCTGGTAACCTTGAAGTCACTGGAAGTTAGGAAAATCTCCAGTGGCTGCAGTCATACCTACATAAAAGGAAGGTGGTTGTTGTTGCTGGAAGCTAATCATCTGTCCTAGGAAATCATTGTTGGAGTCTAGGACCCTGCCTGAGGAACATAATGGTTTTCAGCTACTTCAGTAACCTTCCTTCCATCAGAAGTAGGGATGTTCACTGATGACTGCATGTGGTCAGAACCATTCACAACTCTTCAGATGCTGAAGTTGTCCACGCTTGCTTGTAACAACACCTGGATAACATTCAGACTTGGGCTGATAAGTGACAAGTGACAAGTACTATTCATGCCATGCAAGTACCAGGTGATCATTTCAACAACAGAATCTAAACATCTTCCTTGGACATTCACTGGTATTACCATTACTAAATTCCAAGCAACATCCTGGAGTTGCCATTGATCAGAAACAAACCAACCCCATGAATACTGCAGCTACAAGAGCAGAAAAAAAAGTGTATTTTGTAGCAAGTGATTCACCTCCCAACTGCTAAAGCAAGTCCATCATCTACAAGCCACAAATCAGGACTGCAACCGAATACTCTAGTTGGGTGAGCGGATGAGTACAACTCCAATAACTCAATTCCAGAACAAAAAAGAAAAAAGTGAACTATTGATTGGCACCTTATCCAACACCTCAAATGTTTATTTCCTCCTCCACCCATGGACCAATGCCAAGTCAATACAGTCTATACGATGCATTGAAGTGAAAAACTTACTCTAACTTACTTGTTTTCCCCCCAAAACCAATGAAATGTATGAGAAAAACAAGGGCAACAACCACATGAATACTAAAATCTTATGTTCTGCTCCATGTAGCACACCATCCTGACTTGGAATTATGACATCATTTCTTCACTGCTGTTGGATCAAAGTCCACCAATGTACAAATGTACAGAACAGCAGAAGTAGATTATCAGATTCCTCAAGCCTGCTCTGCCATTCAGTAAGATCTGGCTGATCCATGTATGTTTCGAATTTCACAATCCCAACTCCCAGTAACCCTGAAGTCACCTGCCTAACCAAAATCTATCCTTAGTGTTAAAAATATTCAACATCCAGTACCTCCTGAGGCAGAATTCTAAAGCTACACAACTCAGAGGAAAAAAAAACCATGTCTGTCCTGAAACAGTAGCCCTACTTTTAAAAGAAGTGCGCCCTCATTCTGAACTGATGCAAGAGGAGAAACATCCTACTGACATTGACCTTGTAAAATTCTGAATGGATTTGACACGATTCAATCAAGTCAGCCCTCACTTTCCTAAACGTCATTGAAAATACACACAGCCTGTCCAACCCATCTTCATAAGAACAATCATGTTCATTCCAGGTAGCAATCTAGTAACCTCTTCATAACTGCCTTTAATGAACTTCCTTCCTAACCAGACCTTGGGTTTTGCTTTCACCACAGAATACACTAGATAAAGTGGGCACTCACCATCACTACGTACATGCAATTAGAAATGGGAAAAAAAATGCTCATTATCCTGGCAATGCCCACAAATCATGAAGAAAATAGATGGTAATAAAAGACTTCAAGAGGACAATGACAGACTGGTGAAGTGATAGATCAGATTTAAATGTAGAGAAGTTGGAGCTGACACATTTTGGTCGGAAGAATGAGAAGAGACAAAATGAACTAAGTGGTATAATGAAAGGGATACAGACAGAAATCTGTGCCAGGACAAGTTGAGAGAATTGTTTAAAAAAGTCAGTCAGGATCTTTGACTTGATCGCTAGAGGCATGGAATGCAAAAGCATAGCAGTTTTCCTGGACCTTTATAAAAATGTTGGTTAGAACGGAGCTGGAGTACTGTGTTCAATTCAGGGCATCACACCTCAAGGACATGTTAGCCCCCTAGAGAACGCAGAATGCATTTACTAGAATGGTACCACAAATGATGGACTTCATTTAGTCATGTTGAGGGAGAGTGGGTTTGTTCTCCTTTGGAGAGGAGATTTGACAGTTGTTCAAACCATTCATGATTTTGAACAAACAAACTATTTCTAGTGCCAAAAGGGTCACGAACTAGAGAACATAAATTTAAAGCAATGGGGCAAAAAAAAAAAAGTACAAAAAGGAGCAAGATGAAAATAATTACACAGTCTTTGAACCTCAAAAAGTCTACTTCCACTACCCTCAGGACTAACTTTGAAGAAAAGGAGTTGGTTAAATATTTGGAAGATACACAGTTGTAGGGCTATAGGGAAAGAGTAGCAGTATGAAACATTTGTCCAAATTAGCCAAACAGCAGATACTGGCAGAAAAAGGGCCAGATATCCTCTCCTCCTTCGCTGCTTCATTCAATGATTTTAAGAAAACTTTTGAATAGCTCATATTCCACTGAGCAGGTGAAGGCAACAACAACTGGGGAATGCTCATCTGGCATTTTCATCTCAATTTCATTAAGTACCTACTGTTCCAGCACAATGTCATTGAGTTAAATACACGGTATAGGGAAGGGGGTCTTTTACACCAACACCACCGTTTTGGCAAGCTAGTGGGCAGAGTTCAAAATGCTGTTAATCCATTCTCAAATTACTGTTCTACCTGAAATCGTTGCCTTCCAGATCTTTTGAAATTACAAGGTTACACATACACAGCTTTATACAGAGAAGACCACTTCTTGTCACATGTATTCCTGCTGGAGGCAGTACATGTTCTCAAATGTTCAGTAGCCTTTCTTCAAAGTAAATGAGAAAGATGGAATTCTTTTCTCCTACGCACCATTCTGTTTTAGGTCCCATACACGCAGAGTTCTGTCTCGTGATGCAGAAACCAACATGAAGTTTTCATTGGTGATAAAAGCAAATGATCTCACTACAGACTGATGCCCTTTTAAATAGTGGAGAAGATGAGCTGCAACAGAAAAGCAGTAAGTTCAAAACTACATGCAGTCAGTAGAATACTAGCACATGAAACATTCATCTGTGCAATCTCTGGAAAATGCTTCCAAGAATATCAAGTTCCCAATCTCCTACATAAGTCAGCATTCTTGTTCTAAACACTGCTAGCTGAAAATTTAAACAGAAATTCTCTCTTTACTTGTTTGGAAAACACTAGAACACTTCACAAAAAACAATGCACAAAAACAATAAAAAAAAAATTTGAAGGGACAGAACAAATCACAGCCAAACCTAACCCTAGGATCATAATCGCTACCAACACTCAATGACGTAGCTCAGACACAGAATGGCAAACTGATAAAAGCAGAGCCATTGCATCTTGAAACTGATAACCATAACAAGAGTTAATATCTCAAGGATTGGCGTGGTTAAAATTAAGCAACTTGCATTCAAAACAGTAAAAACCACAGTTTTTCCAAGTGAAATTACATTCTTTCAGTCCAGATTAGAACCAAGAGAGCACGAGAGCAGAGATGCCTCTAGATATCTTACCAGTAGGCACTTTCCACAACTTGATTTCACCATTTGCGAGACCTGTGGCAAGGACTGCATCAGAGGACTGAAGTTTGGATTTGTGTTGGTTCTCAGATGACTGCTTTCCATTGTTTGATGGAGATGCACCAAATGATAATCCCCACACTGTCTGACCACAATCAATTAGCCTTTCTCTGCACCGGCCATCTGAACTCTCATCCACTTTAAAATTGTGTGTACTTTTACAATTTCTGGAGAAAAAAAGAGAGAAAAGGACAAAACACAAAAACTAAAGATATGATAAACATGTTAGGCTAAAGAAGAAGTTGGTGTGTGTGCCTACACAGCACTGTAACGAGTTGAAAACTGATATCAGAGCTGTACAGCATGGAAACAGACCCTTTGGTCCAACTTATCCAGTGACCAGATATCTTAAATTAATCTAGTTCCATTTGTCAACATTTGGCTTATATCCCTCTAAACCCTACCTATTCACATACCCATCCAGATGCCTTTTAAATGTTGTAATTGTACCAGGCTCCACCACCTCCTCTGGCATACACATACTACTCACTGCATGAAAAGTTTGCCCCTTAGATCCCTTTTATACCTTTCCCCTCTCACCTTAAACCAATGCCCTCTAGTTTTGGACTCCCCCACCCCAGGGAAGAAACCTTGTCTATTTACTCTATCCACACCCCTCATGATTTCATAAATCTCTATAAAAGTCACCCCTCAGGTTCTGATACTCTAGGGAAAATGGCCCCAACCTATTTAGCCTCTCCCTAAAACTCAAATCCTGACAACATCCTTGTAAATCTTTTCTGAACCCTTCCAAGTTTCACAACATCTTTCCTATAACAGAAACACTAGAATTGAACGCAGTATTCCGAAAGTGGCCTAACCAATATCCTGTACATTACTTCCTAATTCCAAACTCAAATGCACTGACCAATAAAGCGAAGTGTACTAAATGCCTTCTTCACTACCTTGTCTACCTGCGACGCCACTTTCGAGCAACTCTGAACCTGCACCTCAAGGTCTCTTTATGGCACACAAAAGGTGTACAAGTCCTGCCCTGGTTTGCCTTTCCAAAATGCAACACTTCACATTTATCTAAATTAAATGCCACCTGCCACTCCTTGGCCTGTTGGTCCATCTGATCAACATCCTGTTGTAGTCTGGCGGTAACCTCCTTCGTTATCCAGTACACTGCCAATTCTGCTTGGTAAGTTTGCAGATGACACCATACCGATGTTCACATCCAAATCATTTATATAAATGACAAAAAGCAGTGGACCCAGCACCGATCCTTATGGCACACCGCTGGTCACAGGCCTCCAAAATGAAAAGCAACCCTCCACCACCATCCTCCGTCGTCTTCTACTTTCGAGCCAGTTCTGTGTCCAAAGCCTAGTTCTCCCTGTATTCCTTGTGATCTAACCTTGCTGACCAGTCTACCACGAGGAACCTTGTCAAATGCCTTCTGAAGTCCATATAGATCACATCCACCACTTTGCCCTCAATCCTCTTACTTCTTCAAAAAAAATCAACCAAGTCAGTGAAACATGATTTCCCACACACAAAGCTATGTTAACTACCATAATCAGTCCTTGCCTTTCCAAGTAATTGTAAATCCTGTCCCTCAGGATCCCCTCCAACAACTTGTCCACCACTGATGTCAGGCTCACCGGCCTATAGTTCCCAGGCTTTTCATTACCACCTTTCTTAAATAGTGGCCTGTTAGCCACAGGTGTGGTGCAAAACATCTCAGCAAGGGGTCCAGCAATCACTTCCCTAGCTTCCCACAGTTCTAGTGTACACCTGCTCAGGTGACAGGGATTTATCTACCCTTATGCATTCTAAGCTATCCAGCGCCACCTCGTATATAATACAGACATTTCAAGATTTCGCTATTTATTTCCCCAAGTTCTCTATCTTCCATATCATTCTCCACAATAAACACTGATGCAAAATACTCATTTAGTATCTCCCCTATCTCCTGCAGTTTCCACATAGGCGGCCTTGCTGATCTTTAAGGGGCCCTATTCCGCCTTTAAAAGTTAGGGAAGCAAAGCATTACCTAGAGTTCCTCTGCTGGAACATGCACCTATAAAGACAAGGTCAGATGAGGACAGGCTCGCCAATGGTCAAACAGCTACAGAGACTTGTTAACCAGGCTCTCTCAAATAATAGAATTACTTTTGATCTTGGGATGTGAACTCAATGGCCAAGATCAGTATTTGCTTGCCCTAAGGAAAGTGGTGGGTTACATTCTTGAACTGCAGTCCTTGCTGCACATGTACGTAGTCCAAAAATGATGGATCTACCTGAACCACGTGGAAAATTGTCCAGATGTATCTTGTTAACTAAAAACAAAGGACGAATCTAACCATGCAAGTTATTGCCCTAAATCAATCAGTCTCTTTTCGAACATCAGAAAAGAGTTGGAAGGCATTGTTGACAATGCTTGCATCATTTACCGGATGTACCATGGTAACTCACCAAATATCCTTGACTACATCCTCCAAACTTCCTCCTGCTTTTGTGGGGGGGGGGGGGGGGGGTGTGGCAGATGCACAGGAACACCACCTCCAAGCCACCATCCAGGTTTGAAACATTGTTACTGCATTAATATTGTGGAATTCCCTTCACAACAGCATGTGGGTGCCCCTACACCACAAAGATTGGAGTGGCTCAAGAAGACTGCTCACTGCCACCTTGTCCAGGGCAATTACAGATGGGCAATAAATGTTGATGTAGCCAGCAACACCCACGTCCCACGTACAAATTTTAAAAAAAAAGTGCTGTCAGACAGGGAGTTCATAACGAGTTAAGAATTAGGAACAGGACTAGCCCATTCAATAAGATGATTGATCCGATTGTGACCTTATCTCCATTTGCCTGCCTCCTACAAAGCTTGCCTTCCCTATTAAAAATCTATATTCAATGACTTGACGTCTGGTGCTCTGAGCAAGAAAATTCCAAAAACCAAACGACCACCTGAAAGAACAAATTTCCCTTCAGTCTTAAATGGGAGACCCCTTGTTCTCAATGAGGGGAAGCATCCTCTCACCGTCTACCCTGTCAAGCCACATCAGAATCTTCTATTTCAGTAAAATCACCACTTTTTGTTTTGAATATCGATCCAACTTGTTTCAGCCCAGTGAACCCTCCCAGAATACTTCAATGAAAATTCATCCCTTCTTAAGCAAGCAGTTTCAGAATTTTGACCCAAAGGCAATGAACGAACAGCAATATAGACCAGTAAGCATGACGTGGATGGGAGCTTGTAGCTGGCAATATTTCCATGGCCCGTTTCCCTTTTTTGTGGTTGCACAACGAGTGCTGTTGCCAGAACCATGGCAAATCACAGCAATGCATCTAACAGATGGCACACATTGCTACCAGATTGTCCAATTTTGGAAGGCATGAATGTTTAAAGTGATGCATAGGGTACTATACATGTGGGCTGCTTTGTTGTGGATGGTGTCGCAAATCTTGTAAGTATTTGGAACTGCACTCCGAATGCACAGTTAGAAGGAAATAGAAAAATAATACCTTTGTGACAAAGAGAGGGGAGAAAATTGGGATTTCTGAAGGTTTCCCCACCAGTATTATTTTCAAAAATTGCTTTAGACTAACTCCAACATGACATTTTTGTTTCTCTTCATCTGTTGAGATGATTTTCTGTTTATCTCCGAATTAAAAACAGAAGTTGTTGGAGAAATACAGCAGGTCTGGCATCATCTGGGAGGAGAAAACAGTTAATATTTTGAGGCCAGTGACACTTCAGAACTGATATTGTTTTCCCGGATGTTATCAGATGCTATTCCCAGAGTTTGAGACCCAGCTTAAAAGAGGAAAGGTGAAGGAACTGAAGTGTGGCCAAATAAATGAACATTTAACATTCTGTGGGGACTGGAAATAGTTACAAATCGATTCTCTTGTAGTCAGAGTATAAAAAGGGTGCCAGAATGGGAGGTTAGCACCAGCAGGAACTGATGCAATCTAAAACACTGGATGCCAACAGGTAACTTAAACCATCAGAAATAAATCTCAAAATGATAGTTCCAAATTAAAATCAGAGCAGAGCAGAAAGCCCCTCAAAAGAAAACAAAGGGAATTTCCATGGGTAATCATCCCTTAAAGTCACAACATCTATTGCTACTGGCAGCAGCTACATTCAGCCATAAAGAACTCAATACTTCTATTATATGTTCCCATTATACACATTAGATATTTTATACAATTAATTCTTGGTGGCTTTATGCCCTGCTCCTTTCATATTTAAGGAGAGTTTTGTCTTGCACATTAGTAGAATGTTATCAAGACACCCACAGCCGTGCCCAAAAAGCTAACTGACATTGCACAATTATTAATGTATCAAATTTTCTACAGCATTAGAATTGCATTATAGTTCTCCCATTGCGTTTGTCTTTATCCCCATGTCCACTCTATATGTGGGTTAATAAACAAGACACTGAATATTCTACCTCAACCATCTGAATATTTTGTGGGGCTGGGGTGGGGGAAAAGACATGCAATTGGTAGGCAATGATCTCCAATGAGAGAAAATTTAATATTCTCCTCAATGTTTCATAGCATTCAAAGTCAACATCATAAATTTACTGGGAGAGATCAGAAAATTTAAGCATACTGGCCACATTAGTACTGTAACACAAACTGACACAGCAGGTCAGAAGCTGGGTGTGCTACACTGAGTAACTGACTTCCTGACATGCACAAGTACATAAATAGGAAAGGTTCAGAGGGTGGTGGGCCAAATACTCGCAAACTGGACTAGTTCAGCTCAGAAAACATGGTCGGCATGGACGAGTTGGACTGAAGGTTCTGTTTGCATGCTGTGGTACTCTAGGACAATGGAGCCACGACTTAGAGAATGAAGGTTTCAATACAACAACTGAATGAAAAAAATATATTACAGGACAAAAGAAAAGCTTAAGAATAAACATTTTCAATAACGGTTTGTTACCAAAGCAACGTTCCTTAAACGTTCCTTAATTTGCAATCTTACGTTTTGTGATCTTCAAACGGCCAGGGAACCAATTTCACAATATTGTGTCCCTGTGACCACGCAAAGTATGAGCCATCAGGGGAAAATGCCACACCCCAAGTCTCACAGCCAGATGTCCAATCTAATTCACGCAATCTGTTAGGTATAAGCTTCGCCAGCAAGAGGGGCTCTGCTGCTGTTAAAACAAAATTAAGCTGATGACATACATAACAATGTCTCTCATTCATGTCCTTTATAACCAGCACCATACTGTCTTTCATGCACAGTTAATATTCACAAGTGTTATATTTATATGGTTAATCCATTATGTAAACCCACATATCCCTACAACTTCACCAGCTGCTCCCATACTTTTTTTTTTTAAATAAAGCTTTGATTATATAATCAGTCATTATTTCCCCATATGATCATAAGATTAGGAACAGAATTAGGTAATTTGGCCCATCAAGTCCACCATTCAATCATGGCTGATATGTTTCTCAACCATACATTCTCCTGCCTTCTCCCCTTACTAAAATAGAGAACCCATCTCAATCTTAAATACACCCACCGACTTAGCCTCCATAGCCTTCTGCAGCAATGCATTCCATCAGATTAGCCACTCTATGGCTGAAGAAATTTCTTTTCATCTCTGTTCTAAAGGATCGTCCCTTCAATCTGAGGCTCTCTCCTACTAATGAAAACTTTGTCTCCACATCACTCTATCCAGGCCTCTCAGTATCCTGTAAGTTTCTGTAAGACACCACCTCATCCTTCTGGAGTGGACTCGGAGTCCTCAACCGCTCCTCATATGACAAGCCTTTCATCCTGGGATAATTCTTGTAAGCCTCCTCTGGACTCCCTCCATCGCCAGCACACCCTTCCTTAGATACTGGACCCAAAAACCGTCAATATTCCAAATGAAGTCTGACCCGAGCCTTTTTACAGCCTCAGCAGTACATCCCTGCTCTTGTATTCTAGCCCTCTTGAAATGAATGTTAACATTGCATTTGCCTTTCTAATTGCCAACTGAACCTGCGTGTTAACCTTTAGAGAATCTGGAACCAAGTCCTGTTATGCTTCAGAAATCTGAAGCCTTTTCTAATACAGAAATATAGTTTACTCTTCTATGGTGCATAACCTCACTCTACCACTTTGCATTCCATCTGCCACTTCTTTGCCAACTCCCCTAGACTATCCACATACATCTGTAGCCTCCCCACTTCCTCAACACGACTTGTCTGTCCATGTATATTTGTCATCCGCGAACAATGCCTTCAGTTCCTTTGTTCAATTCATTAAAGGTAAACATGAATAGTTGTGGTCCCAACGTTGACCCGTGCAGAACACCACTAGTTACCACCGCTCATCCTGAAAAAAGACCCCTTCTCCTCACTCTCTGCCAGTCAGCCAATCTTCTACCTAATGCCAGTACTGTGCCCTAACACAATGGGCTCTCATCATAATTAGCAGCCTCCTGTGTGTCACCTTGTTAAAAAGGTCTTCTGGAAATCCAAATAGATCACATCCGCTGGGCCTTGTTTGTCTCATTTGGTCATTACCTCAAAAGAATTCTAACAGATTTGTAAGGCATGACTTACCCTTGACAAAGTCAAGCTGATTCAGCCCTATTTCATCATGCACTTCCAAGTACTCCACAAATCTCATCCTTAATCCTGGGCTTTAAAAATCTTACCAATGACCAAGTTCAGGCTAACCAGCCTATAATTTTCTGTCTTCTGCTTGCCTTCCTTCTTATACAAGGGTGTTACATTCGCCATTTTCCAGTCCTCTCGAACCTTCCGTCTCCAGTGCTTCCTGGTAGATCACCACCAATGCCTTCACAATTGCCTCAGCGATCTCTTCACAACCTTGTGGTGTAAACCACTCAGTTTGAAGAAGATTTATCTACCCCTCAGACCTTTCATCTTTGCCAGCTCCCTTTCCTTAGTGATGGCCACTGCACTCACCTTTGCCTCGGACTCCCTTGAAGTTCTGGTATGCTGCTGGTGTCTTCCACCGTGAAGACTGACACAAAGTACCTATTCAGTTCACCCACCATTTCACTGTTCCCCATTATTACTTCTCCAGCCTTATTTTCTAGTAGTCCAATGTCCACTCTTGTCCCTCTGATCTTAAAGAAACTCTTGCAGTCTTTTTAGATTACTAGCTAGCTTATTCTCATATATTTCATCTTTCCCAAACTTTGCTTTTTTTTTTAAAAAAAAAAACAAAAAAAACAACAAAAAACATAAGGTTGTCCACTGCTTTTCAAAGGATTCCAAGTCCTCTGGCTTCCCATGAATCTTCACCAGATTCTATGCCTTTTCTTTTCCTTTTATGTTGTCCCTGACTTCCCTGGTCAGCCATGGTTGCCTCATTCTCCCCTTAGTAGGTTTCTTCCTCCTTTGGATGAATTTCTTCAGTGCCTCCTGAATTAACCCCAGAAACTGCTGCCATTGTTGCTCCATCATCTTCCCTGTGAGGCTCCCTTTCCAATCAACTCTGGTCAGTTCTTCCCTCAGGTCTTGGTCATTATCTTTACACTCACTTGCAATGTTGTTACATCTGATTCCAGCTTCTCCCTCTCAAACTGGAAGGTGAATTCTATCATATTATGGAATCCTCCCTGAGGGGTCCCTTCACCTTGAACTCAAGTCTGTCTCATTATACATCACCAAAGCCAGAATTGCTTCTTCCCTGGTGAGCTTTTCCACGAGAAAAACTCCTTCTCATAGGTAAATTCCTTTTCTCACGATTCGCTACCAACCTGATTTTCCCAGTCCGCCTGCAATATCAAAGTCCCCCACAATGCGGTTTTTTTAAAAATTCATTTTTTAGGTATTGTTGGCTGGCCAGCATTTATTGCCTGTCCTTAGTTACACTTGAGATGGTGTGGTGAGCTGCCTTCTTGAACCATTGCAGTCCACTGCTATGGATTACCCCACAATGCCATTAGGGAGAGAATTCCAGGAGCTTGACCCAGCAACAGTGATATCTATTTCTAAGTCACGATTGAGTGTGGCTTGGAGGGGAACTTGCAGGTGGTGTTTCCATGTTTGGGCTGCCCTTGTCCTTCTAGATTTGATTTAGTTCATTACTGGTGTTATTGAGATACCATACAAAGAATGCTTTTCATTGTACGATCTGCCTGCAGAGCACACAGCGTATCAGGGTAGCAGAATACAGTGTTACAGCTGCAGGGAAGGTGTAGAGAGTGAGGTCAACATTAACATTCGAGAGGTCTGTTCAAAAGTCTGATAAACAGCAGGGAAGAAGGTATTCTTGAATCTGTTTGTAGGTGTATTGAAACTTTTATATCTTCTGCCCGATGGAAGAGAGTAGAGTCGGGGTGGACAGGGTCTTTGATAACGTTGGTTGCTTTCCTTAGGCAGCAGGAAGTATAGATGGAGTCAAATGGAAGGAAGGCTGGTTTGCGTGATAGACTAGGCTTTGTTCATGGATCTCTGTAGTTCCTTATGGTCTTGTTGAAAAAGGGAGTTGTCATATCACACTGCGATACACCCAGATAGGATTTTCTATGGTGAATCAATAAAATTTGATAAGAGTCCTCGTGGACATGCTGAATTTCCGAGCCTCCCGAGGAAGTAGAAGCATTGTTGTACTTTCTTGGCTGTTGTGTCCACGTGGGTGGACCAGGGCAGATTGCCAGTGATCAATCCCAGGAACTTGACGTTCATGATTATTTCTAGCTCAGCAGCATTGATGCAGACAGAGGCATGCCCTCCATTCTGCTTCCTGAAGTCAATGACCAGCGTCTTCATTTTGCTGCAGAGATAGTAGGAACTGCAGATGCTGGGGAATCTGAGATAACAAAGGTGTAGAGCTGGACGAACACAGCAGGCCAAGCAGCATCAGAGGAGCAGGAAAGCTGACGTTTCGTACCTAGACCCTTCTTCATTTTTGCAGAGATTGTCATCTTTACACCATGCCACTAAGCACTCAGTCCCTTTCTTGTATTGTCTCGTTGTTGTTTGAGATCTGACCTACAATGGTGCTGTTGTCAGCAAACTTGGAAATAGAGCTGAGGAGGAACTTGGCCACACAGTCATGAGTGTATAAGGAGTACAGTAGGTGGATGAGTATACCGCCTTGCGGGGCACTGGTATTGCAGATTATGGTGGAGGAGGTGTTGTCACCTGTTCTTATTGATTGCAGTCTATGGGTCAGCATGTCAAGGATCCAGTTTCATGGGGGGAGCCAAGACCCAGGTCTAGGAGGTGGGAGAAGAGTTTGTTTGGAATTATGGTCTCAAAGGTGATGCTGTGGTCAATAATGTAGGAGCCTGACGTAGGTATCCTCCAGATGTTCCAGAGACTAACGTAGGGCCAGGGAGATGATGTCTGCTATAGATCTGCTGTGCCGGTAGTTCAATTGTGAAGGATGAAAGCAATTTTCGCTTCCACCCCGCTGCAAACCACTTGCATGGCCTTGTGTACCACAGTGCAGTGGTTTGCCCATCCTCCCTACAGTCCTTTTCCTCATCCACACACAGACAGCAAGTACCTCATACCTAATGGTAAAGGCCAGGTGCCGAGGCTCCTCCAATGCTAAATTCAGGATCCCTATACCAGCCTTACTTGTAGTCACATCCTCTTGAACACAGTATCAAGGTAACTCTCCCCCTCCCTGATGTGTCACTGTGTTCAAAGCTTGGACTCTAGCTTGTCAACTGAGCTGGCATTCCCTGAGCAACCAACACTTAGTAAAAATGTGGTCTCTCTGAATCACAATGGGATCCACCAACTCCCATATCACGCAGGTACAACACAGCACCTGTGCATGTGGGCCTGCATCTCCAAATTATTTAATTAGTTTTAATTCGTTATAAAATATCACCTACTGGTCTTTAGTTTTTCATCTAAAATTTAAATTAGCGGTTACTTACCAACCAATGAAATACAGCCTTTCCTGTGATGTCACTTGTTCCACCGTTTCTGACCGAGTCCCCTCCCCTTTAAAATTCTCAAGCGGAAAGTGAAACTCTCCGTTCTTGTTAATTACAATGTTCGTTTCAAATTAAAAATTACATTTTCCTGGGCCATATTAGCTGTTTAACTGATTTGAGGAAGCATGAACCAGTGCTCGCAGTCCAAAATTTAACACCAGTAATCTAATGAGGGACCAGTTGGATCTCCGCACTCTTGTTACTAAAGCATTGTAGCTAGTTATCAGACTTTCCCTCCCGTGACTCCAAGTGGGAACCCTTAGACCCAGTTCCTGCATTCTTATTTAGCAATGGGGTGTGATACTCTTCCCATGTCAGCCAATATCGAACAGTGCAACACAGCGGTACCATAGTGAAATGCAAGAGTGAACCCAATAGAACAAAAACATTTCACACTCACAGCCAGAGCTACATTGACAAGGAGTCAGAGATAGTAAGAACTTTTTCTGAAGAAGGGTCTCGACCCGAAACGTCAACTTTCTCACTCCTCTGATGCTGCCTCGTCTGCTGTGTTCCTCCAGCTCCACAAACATCATCGACAAGGAGTCATGTGTTCAAGATAATTTGAACCCTCCCCATCCATTAAAGAGAAACATTTAATCAAATCCTTGGAACTGCTGATCAGAGCATGATCTATGGCTTTACGTAGTATTCTAGTCTCATAAGCAAGTTTGCGAGTGTAAGCTTCGGATCAGACACCACTCTTCTGCAGGAATGTATCATGGTTGGAACTTCGGTTTATTTCAGAAGACTTGTCTCTCACCATCACGTCACATCTACATGATGTCTCGAAAGTACTTTACAGAAAACGAAATGCAATCACTGCTGTTAATACGGAATGCATTAGCTAGCTTACTTTTTGTCGAAACTTGCTGTGCACAATGGGATAACGACCAGAAAGTTTGTCTCTGCTCCTCTAATGCTGCCTGACCTGCTGTGTTCCTCCAGCTCCACACTAAGAACTTGAACCCCATAACGCGTCTCTAGGCGAGAGTATACCACCAACTGAGCCTTAGCTGAGAATTGGTTGATATCATTAGCTCCGCCAATTTAAAATTAAAGCAATTAATTATTTAACTAGAAACAGTAAGAACTGCAGATGCTGCAGTCAGAGATAACACAGTGTGGAGCTGGGGGAGAAAAGCACAGAAGGCCAGGCAGCATCAGAGGTGCAGGAAAGTTGACGTTTTGGGTCGGGAACAAACGTCAACTTTCCGGCTCCAGACGCAATTATTTACCCATTCAGTTCACACGAGACTCCAATGAAGCGACCACATCCCCAAAAAAGCTCGGCTGTTTAAATGTTGGCGCTTCCTGGACATAGTTACATTGTAAAACAGCTGTATGGACAGGGACCTGTCCTTGCAGTATTCACTGACCTGCAGTCTGGGGGCTGCAATCTGTAGCTCCGTCCATCAATACAGCACAGTATTTGACTGGGTCCTCATGGAGCTAGCAAACGGTAAATCTACTGTGTATTTTGGCTTCAAAGCAGCTTTAAATCGACTCCCTTCCTCCAATTCATTCCAGCTTTTATTGTAAAAAGTGCAAGCTCCCCATCAGCTTCATTATCACCGGTAACTAGCTGCTGCTTCCCTGTGTTTGAAAGCTCCGGACACAGGTAACATTGAAATAACAGCTGTTCCCAGGACGAGCAACTAAACGCAACACGGACCCTCCCTGTAACCAGCTGAGCAGGCACATGTGACCTACTCACTGCTGCTCCCTGCGGCAAGGAGGACCAAATAATACCCCCTCTTCCATATTCCTTTGTACCCTATCGCTGCAAAATCCTATCGATTCGATTTTAAGACTAGTAACTAAGCAGGCATCTACTGATTTTGTTCATGGAAGAGAGAGACCTACACTTCTACCCTCATTGTTAAACGTGTTTCGTAACTCTCTTGAATGTCCAAAAGCACTTCTCTTCTAACTGCTCCATCAATTCTTTATAAAATCCGAGAAATGACTCAAGCCAGAACATTTTATATTCGAGAGAACTTCACAAAATCACTCTTCACGCTAACTCTTGGAGGGCTAGTGACATTGTGGTGAATCTATGGTGTTTTGCTTCTAACAATATCTCCTTTCCAATGTCTGGTCTCCTTTATAGACTGTGGTCTGGAATATAAAGGTCACTTTTCGTTTAGTCTTTTTGATTTTTATTGGTAGTCTTTTATCCCCGATTTGTGTACATGGATACCCAAATCTCTGAATCTGTACTCTTCCTAATTTGTCACCACTGAATTGATACTAATCTCACCTTTAATGCACCAAAATAGATTACCTTACATTTATCTGTATTGATATTCATCTGCCACATTACATTTTCAATCAGTTAATTAATATAACTGAGAGATTTGATTTCTATAAAGGTCTGTGAGATGGCAGCAGGCAATGTTGATTGTGCGAGATGTTCAAAGATGAGACACATTGAGATGTTTGAAGGGTGATTTGCCAGAACAGTAAGGGGAAAGGCAGCAATAAAATCTATGCTGCCAGCAGAACATCAGGTCAGGGTAACAGTAGGAATGTCTAATGAGATAGCTCTGGCAAGAGGTTGGCCCGGTTAAACCAGCTCAACTGTTGAACAAACGAATGGGTAGAATGAATAAAGGTCAGCCAGGGGGAATCAAAAACAGACATTTCTGGAGAAATTCAGCAGGTCTGGCAGCACCTGTGAAGAGAAAACAGAAATAACATTTTGAGTCCATTGACCATTCTCCAGAACCCTAGTACCCTAGTCTCAAGAGTCAGAAGTTTGCGAGTTTATGCTCCAGGGCTGACACCACTGCACTGCAGAAATGTATCAGAATTGTAACTATTCAGTTCATTTCAAAAGGAAAGACGTATCTCTCACCATCATCGCTCACACCTACATGACTTCTTGAAAGTACTTTATAGAAAACAAAATGTAGTCACTGCTGTTTGTATCAAATTCATTAGCTAGTTTGTGCCCAGTTAGCTCCCACAAACAGCAATGGGATAATGACCAGAAAATCTCTTTTAGTGATGCAGATTGAAGAATAAATATTGACCAGGTCACCTTGAATAATGTCCTGCTCCCCATGAAATATTATCTTGAAGGGGGGGCTGGGTGATAAAATGGGCCTTTGGGTCTCATCCAAAAGGATACCTCCCACAGTGTAGCACTCCAATACTGTTTTGGAGGGTTAGCCAAGAACTTGTGTTTAAGTCTTGAATGAAACTTGTGAAAAAGGGGGACACTGGACTTAATACTAACTCTGTTTCTCTCTCCCACAGATACTGCCAGACCTGCTGAATTTCTTCAGCAATTTCTGTCTTTATTTGTTTCTGATCTCCAGCATCTACAGTTCTGTTTTATTTTAGCATTCCATCTAAGTGAATCTCAAATGCATGAGCAAATATGTGGTGTAAGATATTAGTTGAAGATCCAATGAAATTTAGCCCTGGAGATCGGTAAACAGGGAATTGTGAAAGTTAAAGGATTAATTTAAAGAGATAAGAAATGGGAAGTGGTTAACAATCATCAAGAAACCAACAATGCAGATGGTCACTTGAAAGTGGAGGAAATGTTGCAGTTTCTGGAATGTATTATTCACTGACTGTCACTAAGTATATTAAAAGATGAAGCTTGAGAGACCACAAGCACAAGAATGACATGGGAGAATCTGACCAGAGGATTTTGGTATGAGGGAATATCTGGTTCAATAAAGGTTCAAGTTGAACTTCACACAATAATAATTACACCTGGTCCTTAACGAGAATCCTTTAGCAAACTGGGTGTGTAGATATCAAATCATAAGATATAGCTTGGCTCCAAAGTCAACCCTTCAGTACATCAAATATTTACTAAACAACTTAGGTTTCAAGTATGGGAGGAATGACTAACTTTTAGATTGAAGGAAACAGGGAACAAAAACCTTCCTTGTAAAATAAAATGGCAATATTAAATAATTTATGATTCAGCAAAGTGAAAGCAAAATACTGCACATGCTGGAAATCTGAAAGAAACAGAAAATGCTAGACGGACTGACTGTGTGACAGGATCTGTGGACAGAAACAGAATCAACAATTCAAGTTCGATATGATTCTGAAGAGGAGCCATATTGGAATCAATGTCAACTGTTTCTTTCTTCTCAGATCCTGCCAAACCTGCTGTTTCTCTAGCATTTTCTGCTTGTTTCTTTCAGCCAGATGTTCCACCAGGCAGTAAGGGTGTTGGTTAGCTCAGTTGGCTGGACAGCTATTTATGATGCAGCATGACACCAACAACACAAGTTCAATTTCTGCATTTGCTGAGGTTGCCGTGAAGGAATCTCTCTCCTTACCCAAGGCATGGTGACCCTTGGGTTGAACCACCACTCATTACCTCTCTTTAATGAAAGAGTTCTCCTATCATCCACTTAGGACCATGTTAACTATTCATCAGGCAATTTTCCCAGGTGTCATTACTTTTGCCAATTGCATCAAGAAGAGCTAATCATCCACTTGATAATGGATTCCAGTTTCCAACAGAGGATGTAAAAATTAGGATTGATTTATTGAATAGCTTTGTGTTCTTAGTATTGAAATGGCCTGTTCAGATTTATAATTTAACTTCAGCATGCCTGTTGATAAATGATTCATGCTGTAGGAAAAGTGGAAAATCTACTAAAGCCCAATTCAATTGAGATATTGGTATTTAAAACAATTTGTTCAGAGATGTTATGACACATCTCTGGAGCAGATGGGGCTTGAACTCAGGCCTCCTGGCCATGTGGTAGGGACACTACCGCTGCACCATAACAGCCCCAAAATTAAGATACATACTTGCACATATTCCAAAAAAAATACAATTTGATGATCCGCTTGATACTCAATCATCCATGGCTCATCTCATGAGCCTACAAGATGGATTACACAACACCTAATAATTGCAGGATAAATTATTTAACTGCCAGAAGTCAAATTCATACTTTGTTCTATAGTTGGGATATGAGCCTATAATCTCAAACAAATCTTAAATATACAGTAATTAAAATATGTAAAACAAAATTTGTAGCATTCCTACTTTATCAGCTTTAATGTATTTTTTTCACAATATGGAATCCCTACAGTTTGGAAACAGGCCCTTTGGCCCAATGAGTCCACACTGGGAGCATCCCACCCAGGCTCATCCCTCTATAACCCACGTAATCTACACATGCCTGAACACTATGAGCAATTTAGCATGGCCAATCCACCTAACCTGTACATCTTTGGACTGTGGGAGGAAACTGGAGCACCTGGGGGAAACCCACGCAGACATGGGGAGAACGTGCAAACTCCAACACAGTCGCCTGAGGGTGGAATCGAACCCAGATCCCTGGTGCTGTGAGGCTGCAGTGCTAACCACTTGAGCCACCGTGCCACCGATATACTTGCAGGTTCTGCTAATATATATTTTTGCCTTTCTTCCCTCCTTCACTTTGAGGAATTTGCTTCTCCTGCCTTTCAGTGTCACAATTTACTAGGGTATAGCCATGTTGGTGATGAACTTGCTCTGACAATTTTCAAAACATTGATTATTCATGTGTGAACCTTAACATTATCAACAGGCTATTCAACTGAACATCCCAAATGAACTTGATCCTGTTCTATGAACATAGTACCACTATCCTTGCAGACGACGAACTCATGAGGGAGATCCATGGCCCAATCCTTGGTTTCCCAACCAGGTCCCATTGCCACTCAAAGCAAAATGAAGTAGCTTTAAAAATGAAGGTGTATACTTGAGACCTGCATTTTTGTACTCGTGTTTTGCAATAGGTAAACTTGTTGAGTTGTTCTTAAGTTCTTGAAATTCCACTTTATAAAATGGCAGTAGGGGCATATTTGCAGATATATATAGGATGGTGATTTGATTAAAATTATCTTTCATCTGAGGCAGTTTGTGACCACGTGCCCTCAAATTCTCTTTCAAATCCAATTCTTCACAGTGCCTCAAACAAAAAGTGAATCAAACAGGAGGTTGAGAATTTATGACCTTGCTCCTCTAACCTCCTCCACTCTTATAATCCAACCCAGAACAATCTTTCCTTACTCTGGTCTGATCTCTTGTGTACTACCACTCATTTCATCACACTATTAGCAGCTATGTCCTCAGGTCCTGTACTCTGGATCTCCTTTCCTTAACCTCTCGATCTTATTACCTCTCACTACTTTAAGGCTTGCCTTAAAATGTCATCTTGACCCAAAGTCATGGTGACCCCTTCAAATATTTGTCTGTTTGGCTCAATGTCAAGTTTAATTCTGACTCCACCTCTGAAGGAAGTCTTTTTGGTTAAATTTGCAATCTTTTATTGGTTAAATTTGTTGTTTAAATGCAAGTTATTGATGTTTTCCACAATGTGCTGTTCAAATCTAAATTATTGTAGAAACAAATCTTTATTTTGCATGAACCTAAAACACAAGACATATTTAGTTCAATTAAAAAAAAGACATACTGACTATACTACACAAATAGCAAAAAAATTACAAAAACTAATACATTATTTGATTCTCACGTATTGATACAATCCAGATTGCTATTTGCATAAACAAGTCAATCTCTGAACAAAACCAAAATGTACAGTATCAATTTAACAATTATTCACTTTAAAAAAAATTGCTCTTACAAAAGATATTTAACATTATGCTTGCAATGTTTGTGAATAACAATTTTCCAGAGTGAATGCAAAACATTTACTAGAGGACTAAGTATTAAGATACAGATCATATTCACATAAACTCAAAACTAAATTAGCTACAATTTAGCAGGTTAGATACAAAAACAAAGACAACCAATACTTGAAACACACTTTCATAGTCATATCCTGAGTACAAAGTATAGTACATTTTCAGCTAGCCTATATATGGGTTTAAAAAGCAATACAAAATGCTGATGTCATTTGTTCCCATGTGCCCAGAAATAGGCTAGACTTTACAGTAACACAAATATAAGTGTTTCAAATTAGTACATTAGTTCAACCAGAGCTCGTTTGAAAGCACTTTTACAGAGGACTTCTCATTAAGATCGAAAATATTGCACAGAAGCAATCACGTTTCTTCTGTTCCTAAAAGAATAAATCAATGATAGCATTTGAAAAATTGACATCATTTGACTTTGCTTCAAAAGCTATGCTGTTACCAGACTGCTTTGGTAAGATGATCACTTAAATCGCAAGCATGACAAAGTAAATATTGACTGTAAAAGTTCATAAGCTATAGTAGCTTTTGGATAGCATTATCTCCTTTTTAGATCTTTCTGATCAACATCATCCTCCCATCTTTGCCAATCTTTAGCAAAATAGTGCAATGGCATAATCAACAGATTTAACCTACTTTTACCTAATCAATCTGTTCAGAGATGTTATTAAACACCTTTGTAGTTGGTGGGACTTGAGCCTGGGCTTCTCAGTTCAGGGATAGGGAAAGTGCCACTGTGCTACAAGAGGGCCCCCATAATAGTTAGAGTTAATGTCACAGTCAATGTATTGGAGAGAGTACAGAAGGCATTTATAAGAATGGTTCCAGAGATGAAGATAAATTGATGGGTTGGAACTGGTTTCTTTGGAGAGGAGAAGGTGGAGGGGAGATTTGATAGAAATTTTCAAAGCCACAAGGAGTCTGAACAGAGTAGGTTGGGAGAAAAAAAAACTGCTCCTGTTTGTACAAAGATCAGACCCAAGGGCACAATTCTGAAGATTTTGCAAAAGAAGCAAATCTAAAGTGAGGAAAGAAAAAAATTCTCACAGCATGTGGGAGGTGTTTGAAGACACTGCTGAAAGAGTGGTGGATGCAGGTTCAATTCAGCTATTCAATGATTATTTACAACATGCAGAGACTGTGGGGGAAATGAGATTGACATGAAGTCAAAATGCTTAGAACCAGTGCAAACAGGATTGACAGGCTTCCTTTTGCATCATAACAATTCATAGAATTATACAAACTGTACAGTGTGGAAGCTTGTGGCTCTTCAAGTCCACACCGACCCTCCAAAGAGTATCCCACGCAGACCCACCCCACTACCCTATACCTGTAACTCTGCGTTTCCCATGGCTAATCCACCTAGCTTGCACATCCCTAGACACTATGGGCAATTTAGCATGGCCAATTCACCTAACCTGCACATTTTTGGACTGTGGGAGGAAACCGGTGCTCCTGGAGGAAACCCACACAAACAAGGGGAGAATGTGTAAACTCCACACAGTCACCAGAGGGTGGAATCAAACCTGGGTCCCTGGCACCGTGAGGCACCACACTAACCACTGAGCCACCATGTTGCCCTATGATTCTGTCAGCTAATGGAATGATTTGGATTTTAAAATGTTATCTATCAGGCACAGCTTTATTAAAGCCATTGAGATTATTTTGCTTTTCGTGCTTTGAGTGACAAGACTGTACTTTATATGCAGATGGGGACATTATCCATTTGAAACAAAAAATATTTTGCATAAATGTCAAAAATTATGTTTGATAAGGAAACTGTTAATTCTTAAGAAAAACTTCAGCTTTTAAGTAAGTTTCTGTTCACAATGTTCAATGTAGTAAAAAGGATTTATATCATTTGGCAATTTAGCAGACAATGAAAAGGGACAAATTGTCTTTGTTCACTCAGTCTTGACAGATAGAGAAATTCATGGTCATATTACAACTACTGAGTTGAGAAACTTTGGCTTTTGATGGCGACTTTTCCGAGGACTGCTTTGTGATGTCCCTGAAGAGGGCATTTGTTCTCAGCAACAGTCTCTAGTTCAATGACTTGGTAAACAGTTCAATCAAGATTATAGCTTGTGAATGATTTCTGTTAAACTGCTATCATTACAACTAACAAAATTAAATCATTTGGATTCTCAAAAATTCACAGCAAGAGGAGGCTGTAGAATGTGCAGCTTCAGAAGAGGTTTTTCAGAACTCTATTGCCACTCCTGTTGAGCTGGATTCCTGTGACATAGTGAATTCATTTTTTAAATGCAAGTGTCACACATTAGTGGTATTTGTAGTCAGTGTTATTAGTTATCAACATTCTTTTTTTCCCCTCGGAAAGCCAAAAAATGCCATTGAATCTTAACTTGTGGACTACCTTATCTCCAGGAAGGGCAATGTATGCAAAGCCACATACATAAATTAATATTTTAATGGCATTTTCAAATTATTTAGGCAGGAACAAATTATCAAATCTTACCTACCTTTTTGACCATAGTATGAAGATTTACAAGAAAAAGGTCTGCACTTGATTGTATATGGTTCTGCCTTATTCTTCCTTTAAAATGATGAACAGTCTAGATTTACAAATATTTGTACCAAATACCTGATTTTTCAATTAGTACCATTGCTTTTCTTGTGACATCCAATTAGTTGCAATGACATCAGTTTGAGAAAAATCAATCCCCCTAACCTCACCTTGACTGAACTGTTCATCAAGTCTTTCAATTGGATATGGTTCCAGGGAACAAAAGCCCTTCTCAGAAACACCACCCTCACTGCAATTATTGCTTTGGAAAATTAAAGATGATGAACCATTATGTATTTCCTCTTGCACAATGCCTGTTCTACACAAGCGTCCACTCTGAATCCAGTCAAGGAGTCCTTATACTTGAATATCAATAACACTAGAGACAATGGTGCCATATTTAAATTGATGAAAGAAATTGGATTTGACAGTTGCAATGGTAATTTTGATCCATTTATTACAAACGGATTGTGCGCACATGTAGGTTAACACTTAACTGAGCATTGTTCTGAAGACAAAGGTAGTAATTTAAGACTTAAAATACTTGACACTTGAATGCTCCTCTGGTGCCTCAATGTAAAAGCACTTATTAGTGGTGCTCTTTGACACATATAAAGGAATATCTTAGGTTTGAATCTCCATAACGATAGGGGATCAATAATTATTGCTCCTTAGGAGCAGATAAAACATCACAATCTCTAACCTACTTCCAGCCATCCAAAAATCAACTTGCACTGAACCTTCAGGATAAATAGTAGAGACAAAACCTTCCATTTAAATGTAAATTTTAAATCAAAATGAAATTCTAGTCAACTTTGGTGGCTTGCAGATTTAGTCTAACATTTATTCTCCCCTCACTTAAATGAAAAGAGTTTAGTTAAGAGACCAATTATTCATGCAAGTTAGTTTGGACTCAACTGTGATGTGTCAAATTTGGCCTTGCAGTTTTCATCACAAATATTACTTGAAGTCACTGTTTTGGGGGGTGGGGGAGGGGGGTGGTGAAGGTAATCATATTGCATTGTCTTCATTTATCCAGCTGATTTTCTTCATCACAAATGTGGAGATTGTTTGATGTCAGAAACTCCTGCTTTTGAATCTGTCATAGCATGATTTGTATTTCATGTAGTGGTGTCCAATTTAGATTAGAATTTCCCCTCCTTGAAAGTGGCGGAAGAGTTGGCCAGAAGGGAAAACTACTCAGCTGCTTTATGACTTTAGATTGAGATGGACACAGGGCAAGTTCATCCAAAACACAATGTAATAGAAGGGATTCAAACAGTGTTATCACAAAATGTATTTTGTTGGTTTGTCGGATTGTTAGAATACTCTGTCCACAAAAGAATATCTCAAAATCCAAAATAAAATGCGGATGCTGTAAATCAGGAACAAAAACAGAAGTTACTGGAAAAGCTCAGCAGGTGTGGCAGCATCTGTGAAGACAAAAAAAAAAAATCAGAGTTAACGTTTCGGATTCGGTGACCGAATGGAGGAAGTTCTGAGGAAGGGTCACCGGACCTGAAACGTTATCTGTTTTTTTTCTTCAAAGAATATCTCATGCTTCTTTGTTAGGAGCCGATTGTCACTTGCTGAGGACAGATTCTGTACCATTGGTTTTGGGGTCAGATGTTAGCATATCTCCAGGTTGTATTTATCGATAGCTTTTTACAGCCTTGTTCTCCCACCTCTGGTTCATCTTAGCTGTTCCTGCAACAGGACTTACTGGATGGCACTTGGCTTTTCTGGTTGAATAGTCTGTTTTGAGATTCATTGGATTGTATATTGTACGCCTAGTGGCACTTCTATATCTTGGATGTACTTGTTGAACCAGCTGCTGTGGTTTCTGTCTGATAAATTCAAATTCAAGGACCTCAGCTGCCATAAAATGAGTGTCATCTCTTAAATGATTCTTGGAAGAAATTATTCTTTTGTATAGCATCAAGTTCAAAGGTTACTTTTTATTCCTATCTCATTAAGACTTAATAGTTACATCCAGCTTCCTTTATTTAGACTGTATCATTTTGTTCCTGACAAGCCAAAGATCTAATCAGTGTTCAACACCTCTTAGGTAGAGGGTAACATATGTCTTTGACAACTTTCCAGTGATAATTTAGTCTGACATTCCAAAAAAGATCTGAGGCGCACCCATGTAGTTTTCAGTTTATCAGCTCATTGGAAGATTGTGTCTGTGATGGTGAGGTTAAACTTGATACGCTTCAAAAGAAGAGGCCGGTTGTTGGCTTTACTCCACCAATGCTATGGCATCAGAGTAGTTCCCTCCATAATATTAGTCAGTGACTATATGGGCATTGAAATCGTTAAGGATAATCAGCCAGTCCTGGTGTCCTACTCCTCAAGTAACCCTGATTAGGTCATCTCAGATTGCTTCTTTGATCTTGTTTGTTGAGCACAGGCACTGATGGGTGTTACATACTGGTAAGACTTATTCAAAGTATCAAGTCATGTGTTGATGCCCTTGAGAAATGTGTTGTGCATACCTGCCAGTTTGGATTGAATAGCACAGCTGACACCTGACTGTCAAGGCCACTCCTTGAACTTGCCAATCCAGTCAAGTGTGTGGTTGGAATCTGCTTTCTCAAATGAGACCCTCTGCTAACCTGATTTTGTTTACAGCAACTATAATCAATATTGCTACTGGCTGCGAGCACTGTTCGACACTCTGATTTTATATTAGTGTCTGGAATTATTCTGACATTTTGTGAGCTGAAAGTTGCTTGACAATTGATTGTCCTTTGAGATTGCTGTCAAAACAAAAAAGAGAACTCAGTGAACAGCAACTAGCTAGAAGCAGTCCTGGCAGGTCCTGTGGGGAAGCAAACTGTGCTTATAGTTTTTTTTTCATTTCTTCCCCTTCCCTACCTTGGAGGGCAGTACCATACCCTAGAAAAGGTCTCCTCCATCACCATAGTTGTTAATGGTTGTTTCAGGGGTAAAAACCTTGCCCATGGTGTATATGTAACAGGGTGATGTATGTGCACAGCCCTTTTGTGCTCTCATTCATGGCAGCTGATGCTGTACTGGTGCAAAATGTGCCACAATCACACCAAAAAACAAAAAAAAAAAATGCAGGCTTCAATTTTGGAGTTTTCCTGCTCATAGAGAAGCTGCTAAACAGCTGGAAAGCCTCTCTTACCATTTTTACATCATCTTTCAGGTTGAAGGCACTATCAGCCACCAAAGATTTTACAATTTGGATGACATCTGGGTATTTTTAAAAATCAAGTTTTCATTTCCCACATAATCTCCAAGCCAAAATCTACAAGGCCCACAAACATGGATGAAAGGGTCAAGAAGGAACAAGATGAGGTGTAGAGATGCTCTTTATCCACACCAAGTCCTATATGATCAGTGTCTCAAATAGCCTCTGTTAATCAGAATTCTGCTGCTCAGTTTCTCATGTGAGTCCACATTTAAAATAGTGTGCAGAGACAGGAGGGTGAATTTCTGGTACATTAAAAGCAGACAATAACGGACATGGCGGCTCATCATCCCTAATCTAAGTATCACCAAAATAATTCCAAATCTATGGCACTGTAAGATTTTGGTTTTGCTGAGGTCCTGCCCATGGATCTTGGATCATCATCCATTAACAGAAACAAAGATAATTCCACATTAATTAACACTCTACAACAGAAAATAACTGCATACCTTTAAACATCCGATACATTTCTTTCCTTATTTGGGAGCTGATCTTTAGTCGGTGTTTGTGGGTCATCAGAAGCAACTGCAAGAGGAAATTGGATAGAATGCAAACTGAACTTTTTGCTTTGTTGAGCATAAGTCATAACATGCACTGCATTATTTCAATTAACAATTATACGGTAAAGATACAATGACAAAATATTCCCAATTTGACAACATGCCTGCCAGCAGCACAATTTTAGTAGTAATAGCTTTTGTTGTTCCTTCTGGCTGATGTAGTGGAACTCCTGGTCTTCTCACAAGAAGATGCTGGTTTATTCCCCTAGGTCCCCTCTCACTTTCTCCCTACCCACCCCTGTTAATATTCCTTATTTTGAGGGCTAGCAATGCATGCTGTGTCAACTACCTGTCTGAACCCATGGGCAACTACTCATGATGCCGAGATGACTGTTGTTGCCTTGCCCATCTTCATCTTAGATTACAGTTCTTTCTAAAAAACAAGTATTGGTCTCTCAAACAATACGTAGATAATATGGTACATATGACACCAAATAAATCATTGTTGCAAATAAATCATTGATGATTGTTTAGTTGGACATAGAGACTTGTCATTCTTATGACCTTTCATTTGGTTTTCCTATGCTAGAAATTTAGAAACTTATTGTTGTAATAACAGCTAATGAAATCTCATGTTACACAGTAAATATTTAGAAAATTGAGTTTTAAAGGGACTCAATTTCCAACACAGTGACCATGGGTATTGGCAGGAGTTGAACATAGATCTTTCAGCAAGTAATATTTGCTGCAACTGTGTAAACCAAATCAGATCACCACTGCACAAGTTCACAACTTATTCCAAAATGTCCTCAATAGATAATAGGAAGCATGATGTTTCATCTCAAAGGGTCTTCCAGATATCAAATCGGTTTTTGTTTACAGATCAGAAATAGTTTGACTAATTTACAGATTTATGAATTCATTCCCCTGCACAGATTTTGAGGCTTTTCTTAAAATTTAACACAATTTGTCTACAATTCATACAGCAGGCACGAACAGAAATGCTAAGAAAATCACCAATTAATAAGTAAAGGATAATAGAAATACAGGGACAATTAAAAATTGTTCATGGGATCTGGGTATCATTAACTAGGTCAACATTTATCACCCATCTCCAATTGCCCAGAGAGACAGTTAAAAGTTAAACACATGCTGTGGGTCTGGAATTATATGTAGGTTCGACAAGACAAGGTCTAGATGGCAGACTTCCTTCCCTAAAAGACATGAGTGACCCAGATGGGATTTTTACAACACTAGACAGTAGTTACATGGTCACCATTAGACTAGCTTAACCGACCAGATTTTTATTGAATTCAAATGACATCTGCCATGGCGAGGTTCTGAAATAACTGTGCAGAGGCCGT